TTGGCACACAGGGATTTGTTTGGATCCCATGCATGGGGGATTCCAGAGCAGATTCATTGAACTAACTTGGTGTTTTAGAAAATTTTCATGCACAGAACTCAACCCCCTGAGGTTCCCTGAAAATAGCCTAGTCTCAGAGAGACTGAATTCGTGGTTATTGTTTTTTCAGTTGGGTTTGTATCAGACAGTTTTCGTAAGTTGTTCTGAAGCATCTTCCTCGGTAACCACCTGAGTATTGAGTTCGGTAAGCATTCAGAGGACTTGCTGTACAGTGAGGCAGTCTGCATTGTAATTCATGCGCATACACTGTACTTTTACACGCCTCTTAATCTACTAAAGGAGTACCCTTTGAGCCATATCGTACTATGAACCACATTGTTCATCATATCTGGAGCAAAAAGGACCTCTTAGAACTTTGCTCCAGAGGAGTGGAGGAGTATTTGAGGCCCTGCCCTGCCCTGCCCCCTTCCCCGACCTCTCACTTCTCTGCCTGATTCACAGCATCAGAGCTCAGGTTGATGCCGAGTGCCAGCCTAAGCAGTTGCTGTCTTCTGACGTGTACGACCTTCCTAGACGCGGGGAGAGGTAATTGGATTGTTCAGAGTACGTTTTTACCTTGTACAGCACGGAGCCAGATCACTTCCCAGTAGCCTCAGGGGAAGCAGAGTTGGTTATGGATTCCAAAGGGGGACTGTGGAAATTGGAGGGAGACTGCAAATTCAGGAATAAAGTGTAAGGACAGACTCATTCTCTCTTTTAAATGAGAAGTTCTGGCCACCACAGAAAATCCTGGGTGGTTTAAGGAATGCCAGGCCTTCTGTGAACTACTTTTGTACAAACTCCTGTGTGTTTCTCAAGGCCCCTGGGGGTGTGGGGGGTTGGAACCTGGACTTGAGGAATCCGAAGCATGTTTGACCCCGGCTCACGCTGGCAGGAAGTGTGGGGAAGCGTTTCCCCTCGTCTCTACGTGGAGATAACACTAGTGCATCAGCCTGACTGCCATTCAGCTGTGTGTGAGGGAAGACGGCAAATGATCTTTCTGGCTTGTTCAAGGTAGAAGTTTTCTCTCAAAAGGAATTGAGGTAGGGGCGCCTGGGTGGCCCAGTCGGTTAAGTGTCCGACTTTTGATTTCCACTCAGGTCATGGTCTCAGGATTGTGAGATCAAGCCCCATGTTGGGCTCCACCCTGGGCGTGGAGCCTGCTTAAGATTCTTCCCGTCCCTCTGCCCCTCCTTGCTCTCTCTCTCTCGCTCTTTCTCTCAAAAAAAAAGGAAGAAATCAAGGTAAGCAGACCAGGACGGGCAGGGAGACTTCTCAACATGAACAGGGACCTAGGCTCCTTTTCTTTGTTGTCTGCAATCCTCAGTGTGTGGCTTCCTCACCATCCAGGATGGCTGCTTGGCCTCCTGCCATGATCTTTGCATTCCAATCAACAGAAAGGAAAGGCTTGTCCCTAGCTTTAAGGAAACTTCTTGGGAGTCCACACAGTTCTGCTTAATCCCTGTGGCCAGAATTTAGTCTTGTGGCCATACTGCAAGAGAAACTAGGAAATAAAAAAAAAATTTTTTTTTTAAAGATTTTATTTGTCAGAGAGAGAGAGTACAAGCAGGGGGAGCGAAGCAGCAGGCAGAGCAGACCAAGGGAGAAGCAGGCTCCCCACTGAGCAAGGAGTCTGATGTGGGACTCGATCCCAGGACCCCAGGATCACGCCCTGAGCCAAAGGCAGCCGCTTAACCGACTTAGCCACCCAGGTGTCCCAAGGAAATAAAATTTTTTATTGTAGGGGCCACATGTTCAGCTGGGAATTGAGGTGCTTCATTCTGGAAGAAAGAACAGTCTCATTTTGTAAAAAGCAACTACCTTGTAGGGTTGTTTTGAGGACTAAATGAGCTAGCATATGAAAAATGCTAGCTCAGGGTCTGGATATATATAATAAGACACCAACTGTTAGGGTTAAATAAAGCTCACCTCCATAGAGCCTTTATTAATCCCCTTGTTTCAGGTATTCTTTCCTTTCTCTAAATTCCACAGTATTATAATTTTTAATCACATTTCTCATTCCCTCTCTTTTATTTACATCTATCTTACATTATGTCAATTAGATTCTTTCTGTGGTAAGAAAGTTTGCCTCAAAATGATACAGGGAATTACTAGCTCACATAACTGAAAACAGTCCAGCGGTAGGACAGAATTCAAGTAAGGTTTCATCAAGGACTGTGACCCTTTCTCTACTCTCAGCTGACCTCTCCAGGGGTCAGCTTTCTTTCAAGGCTCCCCTCCCCCATGGATGAAAGCAGCTGTTGAAGTTACAGATTGCCTTGCTCATATCAAAAGGAATAAATTAAACATTAAGTCCCTAGCTTTACTCTGACCCAAACATCCTGAACTAATCATAATGGGCGGTGGGGGGAGGGACCCACACACTGAGTGGCTTAGGCCTGCCCATCTGATGTGGCAAGAGCCATGGATTACTCTGGAGTTAGAGGCAGGGTCGTCCCATTAGGACCACATGGCTGCTCTATGTGGGGTGGTTTTCCAAAGCAAAGTCAGAGGGGCAGTGGGTGCTGGGTAGGCAACCAACGAACTCCCACTGTACAAGCCTACTAAAGCCTAAACATGGGGCATCAGATTTGTTTTCTAGCTCTCCACAGCATCTAGCACAGCGTGTGTGTCTAGCGGTGTATTGTCAAATATTTGCTGCATTTAAGGATGAGTAAATTTGACAACACAGATGGCTGGCTGGTGGCGGAAGGATTCAGTGCAATCCACTAGTCAGTAAATAGAATAACTGGTGTCAGATCCTCTCCCTGTCTTGGTGGCATAAAGGGGTAGGGGCCAAAGAGCAGGAGGGAAGGTGTCAACGCAGAAGGCACCAAGGCGGGGGTCGAGGGGCTTGCCCAGCGGACCTGCCCCTGAATGAACACAGGGAGAAGCTGAGACCCCAGGAAAACAGCCTCAGGAAAGTAACCCGTCTGGGTCCACCCACCCTGTCACTCCTGTGGTCTGCCTAGTACTGGCCGGTGGGGTTTTGTTGTTTTGAACATTATGGGTTTAGATATAATGGAGCCTTGTTCATGATTCCAAACTGCCCTTTTAGCTACTATTCACAGAAAAGCTCTCCTGTCCCTGTAGGGGAGGGAGCTTCCTGGGGTTTCTGATCTCCTTTCCACTGCTTTCAAGTTGTTTCTCCCAGAACTTCTACTCTGGCAGGCCCTGGAGAGAAACCTGCTCCGATGCTGTCTCTCTCCTCTGCAGACTCTCTTCTCATTTCTCAGGTTTCAGAGTGTCGGCTAGTAGGTTCTCATTGTTACAGAAGGATGCTTTTCACTCTAGCAGGAAATAATAAATTCACCATCCAAACCAAATTTAGCCTCTGAAACACCCTCCCTTCATCCCAACTACTTGGCAGGAAATTTGATCCCTCGTAATTTCAGTCCCTAAATACCTCCAGGATCAAGAGGCCTCGGGGGTTAGCCAGTAGGAAAACTTCTACCCTTCCTCACTGTTTAAGACTTGACCATTATAGGGGCGCCTGGGTGGCTCAGTCGGTTAAGCGTCTGCCTTCAGCTCAGGTCATGATCCCAGGGTCCTGGGATCGAGCCCCATCTTGGGCTCCCTGCTCAGTGGGGAGCCTGCCTCTCCCCCTGCTGCTCCCCCTGCTCGTTCTCTCTCTCTCTCTCTCTAATAAATAAAATCTAAAACAAAAAAAAGTTGACCATTATAATGGAGCTTCCATCCCCACCAAGCTAACCAAACTGTCTATAAGGTCACCGCACCACCACCTAGCCAGCACATTCACTGATCGGATTGGCCCTTGTCCTGACCGGCCTGTCAGCCCCAGTACCCCAAGGTGCTCTCCTCTGGCTGGCCCCCCATCTCTCCACCTGTACCTTCTCACCAGTCAGTGGCATGGAGGCCGGCACCACGTACATGTTGCTCTGCCCGGGGCTCCGCCTCTCCCTGAACACTTCAGAGCCTAGGGAGTGACCTTTCCACAAACCTCTCCCATGAGTTGTGTCTCCAACCCCTGACACTGTCCTTCCTGAGCCCTGAGCCCCAATCTCCACTTAGGTGTCCTGACCCGGACTGTCTGCGTTTGTCCGAGCCCCCGCCCTGCATCCACCAAGGCACCCACTCCCGACAATGCCGAGTCACCTGAGCCAGTCTGCCCTCAGTCCCCAAGTGAATTCCATCACTTCTGTACCATCTGGGCCCTCATTGCTCCTTGCCAGGACTTCTGGCCAGCCTCCCTGCACGCCTCTCCTCAGTGTTGCTGGGATGTCAGGCCCACCTTTGACACAGCCGCTCTCCTATAGGGATTCCCTGGCATCTTCCTGTCCCCCCTGGTTGCAGAGTTGGGCCCCCTCCCTTTCGTCACTCCCTGTCCCCACCCCTTATCCCCGCACAACCACAGCCGATGCCCCAGCCTCACTGAAGGTCGGGCTTCTGTAATTTTCTGATTTGCGCATGGAATGCTGCCCTCCCTACCTCTAACCTTCTCTTCAGGACTTTTAGAGTCCCGGGTGGGGGGGCTTTCTCCCTTACAGGCTCAACCTCCTTGGGCAGCCCCCGTCTCCAGCACTGTGCAGGGTGGAGGGGATGATCTAGCTGCCGGCCGAGCTCCTTCACTGGGGGCCTCTCAGGCACACGGGCTGTCTTACTGCCTGCTGGCTTCCCAGGCCTGAGCACGTTGCTTGCAGGGAGCAGCTCACCAGTGAGCACTGGGGGATGCCCCTGCCAGCGCCCACTTTCCTCTTCAGTGACTCAAGCCTGGAGGTCGCAGGAGGTTGTAGCTGGTCTCCTACCCCCAGTTCTCAGCACCCCATCCAGCCTGGTCGTGGCCATTAGACAGAGCTACCTAAATCACCTCTTCGGAGCACTTTTGTGCTCAAAAATTTGCAGAATGAAATTCCAGTCCCTTAGCCTGACTTACAACTTCCAAAACCTACCCCCAAATCAACCTTGCCTTCTTCAACCACTACAGCCCTCAATTCTGACAGGTACCCATTGAACTTTTGCCGAGTGACTGAAGAATACGTGAATGAATGCCTTCTGTATAGTGGAGATTTTTTGCAAATGGAGTCCATTGCCAGAGGACCCTGGAGGTAGGGTCCTATAGAAGTCTGTAAATATGGGAGCAAGGGGTTTGGGGGAGATCTCATCCAAGCTCAGTAGGCTGGATCAGGGACAAAGCCTCACCCAGGGGGAGAGATTTTAAGTGCAAAATCAGGGCTGTCTCTCATGTCTGCCCAATCCGGCCTGTAGGTACATATTTTTCATGGTTCCAAGGTGAGAGAGGGCTGTAAGTAGGAGCTGAAGAGCTGTTTCCCTACGAAGCTCTAAATGTTGGGTGCAGAAGCTAGCTTCTTGGGACCTCTGCATGGACTGGCTCAGGCTCCTCCAAGGCCCCAGGTTTGGCAGCTGGGCTGGGTCAGACAAGGCAGTGGCAGGCCCACAGCACAGGGCCCAGGAGCCCACTGAGTGATGAACCTGTGTAAGACATTTCACTGATGGAGGCAGGAGGTTCTGCATTAGGCAGGGTAAGAATGTGCAGTCTGATTTCTGACAGTCTTTCTGGCAGGAGAGGCCTGGGGGATCTTGGCGAAATAAACTTGAGGGTGTCAATTAGAGGCTGAGCCTCTGGGCGTCCCCTACTACTCTCCTTCCCTTCATAGGCTCATTGCTATGGCTCAGGTCAAAGGCTTGCTCCTTCAGGGTGCCTTCCCTGAACTCCCTAGTTGGAAGTAGCTCTGCTCCTCTCCCCTGCAATTCTACACCTGCATCCTGGAGCAGTGGTGGGGCACTCGGGCCACATGGTCTTGTGGCTGGATGTTCATTTCCCTACATGGCTCCGTAAGCATAATCCTTCTTCCCATCTTCCTGAGCATGTGGTGCCCTGGGCAGAGCCAGGAACTTAAAGATATATGTATATATTTTAAGATTTATATATTAGAGAGAGAGAGCATAAGCAGGGAAAGCAGCAGAGGGAGAGGGAGAAGCAGGCTCTCTGCTGAGCAGGGAGCCCGATGCGGGGCTTGATCCCAGGACCCCGGGATCATGACCTGAGCCGAAGGCAGATGCTTAACCGACTGAGCCACCCAGGCACCCCAAAGATATTTCTTGACTGAATGGTAGTTCAGTGATTTTTAATGATCTTCAAGAGTTCTGCACTGTACATAAAAGGATACAATTAAAGTGAAAAGGCCATCTATAGAATGGAAGAAAATATTGCTAATTATTACCTGATAAGGGTTAATATTCAGAATATATAAAGAACTCCTACAATTCAACAATTAAAAACAAAAAACCAAAAAGCAACTGATTTGAAAAAATGGGCAAAGGACTTGAATAGACATTTCTCCAAAGAAGACATACACATGTCCAAAAAGCACAGGAAAAGATGCTCAACATCACTAATCATTAGGGAAGTGCACATTAAAACCACCATGAGATGTCACTTCCACACCCAGTGGAATTCCACACCCAGTGGAATGACTACTATAAAAAAAACCAAAAACACCAAAATAAGTATTGGTGAGAATGAGGAGAAATTGGAACCCTTGTGCTCTGTTGGAATGAAAAATGGTGCAGCTGCTAATGGAAAGCGGTATGGCAGTTCCTTGAAAATTAAAAATAGAACCACCCCATGATCCAGCAATCCCACTTCTGGTTATATATCCAAAAGAACTGAAAGTAGAGTCTCAAAAGAGGTATTTGTACACCCATGTTCATAGCAGCACTATTCACAATAGCCAAGTGTCCATCAGTGGATGAATGGATACATAAAATGTGGTGTATACACACAATGGAATATTCCATCTTAAAAAGGGAGGAAATTCTGACACATGTACAACATGGGTGAGTCTTGAGGACATTATGCTAAGTGAAATAAGCCAGTCACAAAAAGACAAATACTGTATGATTCCACGAATATAGCCAGATTTATAGAGAAAGAAAATAGAATGGTGGTTGCTGGGTGGGGTGGGGAGTTGTTGTTTTGTGGACAGAAACAGTTTCAGTTTTGTAAGACAGGAAGTTCCAGTTTTGCAAGAGGGGAAGAGTTCTGGAGATTGGTTGCACACAATGTGAATATACTTAACACTACTGAACTGTACACTTAAAAATGGCTAAGTCGGGGGTCCCTGGGTGGCTCAGATGGTTAAGCGTCTGCCTTCGGCTCAGGTCATGATCCCAGGGTGCTGGGATCGAGCTCCATGTCAGGCTCCCAGCTGGGTGAGGAGTCTGCTTCTCCCTCTCCCTCTGCCTGTCTCCCTGCTTGTGCTCTCTCTCTGATGAATAAATAAAATCTTAAAAAAAAAAAAAGGCTAAATCGGCAAATTTTATGTATACTTTACCACGATTAAAAATAAAAAATTAAAAAAAAAGAGAGATCTGCACTGAGCTGGCCCATTCAAATGATTCAATGGGCAAGCTTGTCCCAAAGCAGCACCCTGGTGGAGCTGGGATTTATTACTTGGCCACAGAACATCTTGAGGAGAGGTAGGTACTCCTTACATTCCTAGGGAAATAATTAAGGCTTTCATTCCTCAGGGTGTAGTTCAAGGACCTGAGTAACAGCATCACCCAGGCTCCATGGAAACACAGAACCTCAGGCCCCAACCCAAACTTAAAGAATTGGGATCTGTATTTAATAGGCTTCCAGGCGATTCCTGCAAGTTAATGCCTGAAAACCTCGCCTGGAGGAGATCATCCCTGGGAAGAAGAGCCTGAAGGAGGGGTGAGTGGCATACACACTGGACAGTCTCTGGGAGGACCAACTCTCAGCCCTCTCCCAACTTAGACATGGGGAAACTGAGGCCCTGAGGACCACAGAGGCCCTGAGGACCAACCTGGAAGTTGATTTCACAGGAGCTGACTTGTCTACCTTCTAGCTGTGTGCTCTTGAGGGAGTTACTCTACGTCTCTGTGACTTAGCTTCTCCCCCGTAAGAGCCACCCTATAGATCTGCTTATTTAACTGTGGAAGAATGAGTGCAGGTAACGGTGAACAGGTGCCCAGGGCATACCTGCTCTTGTTATGGTTGCCAAAAGTCACATTTCAGGAGAGAGTGCAGTGGAGAGGGGTCAAGATGTCACCAGTGCCCAAGGTTCTAGCTCCAAGTGTGGGCAGAAGGTGCGCAGGAGAGGATGGGGATGGTCAGTGATGCCAATGAGCAAATTCAGGCATTCATTCATGAATACATTCATTTCTTCCAGAACAAGTATGAATGCTTGTCCAGTAAGGACCTGGAAATCTGGCAGTGAGGAGGATGAGCCGGACCTGCCTGCAGGCAGAGACCACCTGAGCATGGGGGCACCCAGGGAACTGGCTCTTACAGCTGCAGCCCCAGGATGGGGAACCTCTGGCCAGGGCCTTATAGACACCCCCTGCGCCCCGCCCCACTGCAGCCTGGTACTGGGGGGCTGGGCCAGGAGGGGCAACACTGCCTGGCCCTCTGGTGGCTCTCAAGCTGGGCCAAGCTGCAGCCCTCGGAATGCTTTTTATACAGGCAGAGTCTGGACCCAGGGATCTGCCTGGACATCATCACGCATCCCGAGGGCCTGAAGCACCCGCACTGGGCTACAGCAGGCTTGGCTGCGGCGCAGGGGTGAGCTTGTGGCATGGGCGCCCTTCCCACCTCCTCCCGCCACGGTATGCTTCTAAAGCCAGTGGTCCACCCCCCCTTGGGTCGGTCGCCCCACTGGGCCCACATCTGAGGCACTTCACCTGGCTCCCGGCACTTTGTCCCCCTCCACACTAGGTTCTACACTAAGCCCCCTACCTTGGTTCCACACCAGGCACCTCGCCTGGGCCTCCATTACCTGGTCATCTTTCACTCCATCCTCCGAAGCGGGCCCCGACCCTGGGATCGCAGCTGAGTTCTCCCTGCCTCGTACCTGGGCCCCGCGTTGTGCACCTGTCCACTCGCTCCCGCGCCCGGTCCGCACTTCCGACACCCGGCCTTGGCCTGCCGCCCAGGACTGAGGCCCGGGTGCCCCGGGACAGAGCCGCTCTCACCCCGGCACCCAGGTTGCAGGCCCAAGGCGTAGGAGTCGCATCCGAGCTACCGTCTCGACGGTGCGCAGCCACGGAGACCGTTTTAACCAACCTCACGGATCCCCAACCTTTTTCCTCTTCCACACTTTGCTCAGCCGCATTCTCAGACACGCCGAGCACACACCCCAGTGGGGAGCAGCAAGAAGTCTCCCCGCCAACGCCACGCCCACAAGCGCCCCGCCGCCGACAGTGAGAGTCCCGGGTGCCGTGCGGGGCTGGGGACAGGGGGAGCCGGGCCGGGAGGATCGCCAAGTTTCAGGATGCCTCGCAGGAAAAAGCAGGGCGTTACTTCTGCCACCAGCCTCTTCGTGGGACCACGGATAAACGAGAGCTTTCGTGTTCCACGGGTCTTTGGCGGCATCTCCGTGGGCTCCGCTGGGAAGTTTAAACAGATCACGAAAACGGGCATTTCCTCGCCCCGCCCCCAGGCAAAGGGCCGCAAAGAAGTGAAACTCCGTGAGTCAGCGCGGCTGGCAAGCGGGGCCGCCCGGAGAGGCGCCGCCCTCGGCCGCGGACCAGGTGCCCTTGGAGGACCGGGAGGTGCGGCGGGGGCGGAGTCGCCGCCCGCCGGCCTCGGCATTTCCCCCCGGCCCGGCGGCCTGGACGGCGCGGCGGGCGGCCCTGGGTCATGGCCGGCGGGGCGGCGCCCCGGGGTGCCGAGCTGCTGGCCTTCGCGCGGTTCCGGGAGTCGAGCAAGCAGCCGCTCGCCTATGGCTATGGCCCGGGCAGCCTGCGGGAGCTGCGCCAGCGGGAATTCAGCCGCCTGGCAGGTGAGGCCGTCCGGGCCACCTGTGTGGGGTGGGCAGGGAGGACGTGGCGGGGGCGCTTGTGTTCTGGAACTGACGTGGAAGGAGCTGTGGCGCTAGGTGGGAGCAGCTCACCTTATTTGGGATACATTTTGGATCGAAAGACCTGAACGGACGTGTCCACGCGTCCGCTTCGTGGACCCGGCTCCCTGAGGTCCCACCTGCAGCCCAAGATTTCTTGCTCCTCTAGCTCCTTAGACTTGCCCGTCGTGCAGCGCCAACCTGCTCCCTACTCGCCTGTCCTCGCCCTCCGCGGGTCTGGCTTAGGGATTCCTTTTGCTCTCGGTTGCCACGAGACCCCCCCGGCTTAAAGGTCCGACCGGAGCCACGGTTGCAGAATGCAGGAATGTCCGGCGCCCCTGACTGTTCAGGTGCTCGCCTGCGGACGGGTGCAGTGCGTGGCTGGCCCGTGCGCCGGGTTGGGACCGCGCCTCGCGGGGCGCGCGCGGCTGGGACCGAGAGGTACAGCCTCTGGAGGCTGAGCTCGCAGCATCTTTTATTTTCGAAGCCTCATTTTTCTCCCTCGTGCAGTCAGAACAATGCCTCCGAACTCTAGCTCGCTGGGGCACTCGCATTCGCAAACCGTGCAGTGTGAGCTTTAAGTACAGGACGAGCCTGTAAATTGGACACGAAGACCGGGATCACAACGTCCCTTTGATTTCCGCAAGGCAGAACAGGCTGGTTAATTTTAAATCGAAGGGCGCCTGGGTGGCTCAGTCGATAAGCGTCTACCTTCGGCTCAGGTCATGATCTCAGTGTCAGGGGGTCGAGCCCCGCATCGGGCTCCCTGAGGAGAGCCTGCTTCTCCCTCTGCCTGCCGCTCCCTTGCTTGTTCTGTCTCTCTCTCTCTGTCAAATGAATAAATAAAATTTTTAAAAATAAATAAATTTTAAAGCGAGCTCCACCTGGCCCCGTGGCCTTGCCCAGCCATTGCTGCAGGGCAGGAGGGCTCCCACACCGGTGGGGTCTCACTCTTGCCTCGGACCTCGTGTGAGGGTCTTCTGGAGCCTTAGAACGGCCTGCGGGTGGAGCAGGGAGGGACGGAAGGTAAGTGGGCATGGTGGCGGCAGCAGGCACCGGGATTTGAGGGGTACTTACTGTGTCGAGATGAAAAACTGTGACTGCGCCCCAGCTTGTGGCAAAACAGCAATAGCGATCTCACGGTTCATTAATCAGGTAGCTGATTTCAGCTCTTCTGGGTCATTCCCTCATGTTTGGGGTAGTGACCATTTTGTCCCTTTGGGGGCTCGCAGGGCTGTGGCCTCCTCTCTGTGTGTCTCCTGTCTGTACTTCAGTAGGGAATCTCAGGAGGGAGACAGGGGACCTTCTGGGTCCCCTCTACTACCTCCCCATTCTTCCCAGTGGCACATTCACGTGGAGGAGCACCTCACCCCTCCGATTCTGCCTGCCGTCCCTGACAGGTATTATTTCGGAAATTTCCACCCGAGAAGTAGGCTGGTACAATGAACACCCACAGGTGTGAAGGGAGGGAAGGAGGCTCCCCATTCTTTTGAAGCAAATCTCAGAGGCTGTTAGCGTGCAGTCCATAATTATTTCTGCACCACACCTGCTTAATCCCCTAATCCCTCCAGCTCTGGTCCCTCACACCCATCACTGGCTGACCTCTCCCCTCAACACTCCCCTGGGAAAGTACAGGTATGTTCTGGGCCCCTACTTGTTTCACGTGTGTCCCTCAGAGGGCAGCACCTTTTCCCTTAAATGGAAAATTTAAATGTGATAGCCAGGATCTGAGGCTGGCCTTCAGAGCCCCTTTAACATCTACTGTATTGTATTCTGTCTGTCTGTCTATCTCTCTATCTATAGTGCAAGTTCCTAGCATTTCCTCTACATTAAGACTTCAAATAGACATTTTGTGGATTAAATCCACCCGTCCCACTGCTGGGAATCTTGGAACATATCATGGGGCAGGGAAAAACAAACAAAACAAAATAACATAACTTTCACCTCCTCTTCCTTTCCCCTTCCTCCTTCCCCTCATAGTTTTTGTGCGGGTTTGAGAGTTTATCTGGTTAAGGGGTAGCTCTAGATAATTACATGCTTAATCTTCAAATGCTGAAATATTTTGCCCAAGCAATGGGATGGGAATTCCCTTGTCTTGGTGAAGGGAGCCTATTGAATTTTCAGATGTGGTTCAAATGGTTCTTGAAGTCTCAGGGTGCCAGTGGATGGCCACTCACCCTATGTGGAACTGAGAACTGAAGAAGCATGATCTAGAAGAGACCCTGGAATTTCCTTCTTGAAGACCCAATGCCAGTGGGTTTGGGGATCATTTGCCTGATTCTTCTAATAATAGCCAAATCTCATGAAGTGTTACTGTGTGCCAAGCACCAAACTGGGCTCGGTTTACCAACTCTTTTAACCCCCATCCCATCTGCAGATGAAGGAACAGGGACCCAGAATGGCTAGTGGTAGAACAGGATTCAATCAAGTTGGTTGACTGGGATTCCGCACTGTTAACCACGATGCTAGCTGACTCCTCCCAAGATCACATCTCTAGCTAATCTAACATGGCTGCCTGGTTTTGCAAAATTACTGGACCAAAGGCCAAAGCAGGCTTCTCCCAAAAGCCTTCCTGGCCCTGCAGAAGACCGTGGCCAAGGCATGTGGTGTTCCCCGGGAACTAACTTTTTGGACTAGGTAGTACATTTACACAGCACTCAAAATGTGCCAAGGGAGGGTAAAGAATGGCTAGGGAGACCCCTCTTACTCCAGCCACAGCCATGGTGGCCGCCCCTGGGTCAGCTCCTGCCCCTTGGGTCCTGTGTGCCTTTTGAGTTGTTGTCTGTATTTATATGAGTGTGTACAGTTTTTTTTTTTTTTAATTACACAGTTGAGCCATAACATCTCTTATGTGACATAGTTTATGTTTATTTGTTTATGGTCTTTCTCTGTCACTCTCATACTAGCTTCTCTCTTGTCTACTCTTATGTCTCCGCTACTTAGAGCAGTGCCGGGCACACAGTAAATACTCAATAATGTAAAAATATAAGAAGCTAGGAAATAAAAGGAAACTTAATTGACCTGGTAAAGGCTATCTACAAAAAACCCCACAGCTAATATCATACTTACTGGTGAAAGACTGACAGCTTTGCCCGTAAGATCAGGAAGAAGACAAGGATATCTGGTCTCACCACTTCCATTCAGCATTGCACTAGAGGTTCTAACCAGGACAGTTAGGCAAGAAAATGAAATAAAAGTTGCCCAGATTGGAAAGGAAGAAGTGAACCATCTCTATTTGTGGATAGCACAATCTTACATATAGAAAATCCTTAAAGAATTCACATATAAAACTGGTAGAACTAAAAAACAAGTTCAGCAAGGTTACAGGATACAAGCTCAATATACAAACATCAACCTGATTTCTATACACTAGTAAGAAAAGCTATGCAAATGAAATACAGGAAAGCATCAGAAAGAATAAAATACATAGGAATAAATTTATCAAAGGAGGTACGAGACTTAAACAGCAAAAACTACAAAATGCATTGAAAGACATAAAGGAAGACCTAAATCAATAGAAAGACATCCTGTATTCATGAATTTGAAGACTAAATATTCGAAGATGGCAATACTCCCCAAACTGACCTACAGATTGAATGTCATTACAATCAAAATCCCAGGTACCTTTTTGCAGCAACCGACAAATTGATCCTAAAATTCATACAGAAATGGAAGGGACCCATAATAGCCAAAGCAACCTTGGAAAAGAAGAAAGTTGAAGGACTCATATTTCCCATAAAAGTAACGTAAGTAAAATTTATATAAAGTAACAGTAATCAAGACAGCATTGTATTGGTATGAGAACAGATGCATAGAACAATGGAGTAAAATTGTAAATCTAGAAATAAACACATATGTCTATGATCAATTGCTTTTTAACAGAAGGCCAAGACTATTCAATAGAGGAAAGAATAGTCTCCAACAAATAGTGTTGGGGCAGCTGGTATCCACACACAAAAGATTTATGAAACTGGACCCCTACCTCACACTGTATTCAAAAATTAACTGAAAATGGATCAAAGTCCTAAATATAAGAGCTAAAAATATAGAACTCTTAGAAGAAAGCATAAGCAATAATCACCAGGACCTTCGATTAGGCAATGGTTTCTTATGACACTAAAATTATAAACAATAGTAACAATAGAAATAGATAAATTGGACTTGATTAAAATTAAAAACTTTTATGCTTCAATGGACACCACCAAGAAAGGACAACCTGCCAAATGGGAGAAAACAGATGTCCCCACAAAAACTTGCACATAAGTAGTCATGGCAACATCACTTATAATAGACAAAAAATGGAAACAACCCACATGTTTATCATTGGATGAATGGATAAACAAAATGTGGTGCGTCCACACAATGGAATGCTATTCAGTCATAAAAAGGAATGACATGAAAATATGGATGCACCTGAAAAATACTATGCTAAGTGAAAGAAGTCAGACACAAAAGGCCATGTAGTGTATGATTCCATTTATATGATATGCCCAGAATCGGCAAATCTATGGAGACAGAAAGTAGATTGATTAGTGGTTGCCAGGGACTGGGGCTGGATGGTTGGGGAGTGATTGGTAATGGGTATGGGCTCTCTTTTTGGGATGAATGAAAATGTTGTAAAATTAGGTAGTGGTGATGGTTGCACAATTTTGTGAATCTGCTAAAAATACCACTAAAAGGGTGACTTTTATGATATGAGAATTATATCTCAAAAAGCTGTTAAAAAAGAAACAAAAAAATTCATTCTGCACAAAACAAACAAAAATTTAAGTGAATGAAAGAAGGAATGAATCTATTCACATTGTATGTTCTCAAAAGTGTATCTCAGAGTTTGCTCCATGTCAGTCCTTATAAAGTGACTACATGGAGGTACAAGAATTCTTTATTTTAAACACATGTTCATGGATATTTAAGTCATTTCCAATCTCCTGCTATTGCAGACAATGATGCACTAAATGTCCTCACATGCAGGCCATTTCACAAACCATGGGTATTTATAAATGAATTCCTAGAAGAGGGATTGCTAGGTCAAAGAGGGTTTGCATTTTATTTTATTTTATTTTATTTTATTTTATTTTATTTTATTTTATTTTATTTTATTTTATTTTATTTTTTAAAGATTTATTTATTTATTTGAGAGAGAGAGAGAGAACACGGGGGAGGAACCACGGAAGAGGGAGAGAGAGAATCTTAAGCAGACTCCCTGCTGATTTTGGAACCCAATGTGGGGCTCGATCCCACGACCCTGAGCTCATTACCTGAGCTGAAGCCAAGAGTCGGATGTTTAACCAACTGTGCCACCCAGGTGCCCCACGGGTTTGCTTTTTAAAGTGTGACTGATATTGCTAAATTGCTGCCCATAAAAAAGTTGTATCATTGTAGCCCCCTACCAGCCATGTACCAGTGGGCCTGTTTTCCAGCACCCTCACCCACACGGTGAGTCACCCAACCTTCTGGTCTCCACCGTCTGATGGGAAAACCTTGGTATCTCATTCTCATCTAAATTTGTCTGTCGCTGTTGATGAGAGAGGCTAGAAAGATCATTTACAATCCTAGTACTGTCCGAAGCTCTCGGAGCTGTCCTAGGGTTGAGGGATATGGAATTCACTGTGGGAAATCAGAATCAGGGTTCAGCTGCCAGGGAAGCGGCAAAGAAATCCCAGGGAGGAAGTGAGTCATAATGTGAAATTGCTTTACTGTCGTGAATCACAAATGTCTGTTGGGCTCCTCCTCTGTGTGGGATGTTGTTCCAGGGTCACAAAAGAGCTGGCTAATCAGGAAGGCTTGCTCGGGCTCTAAAGGTCATTCAAGATGGAAAGTGCAACCTTTCATTGCTCATGCCTCCACTTGGATTAAGGAGCTCCTATCAAGAGGCTGGGAGAAGTCAGTAGCCTGGTGGTGCCTCCTGCTCAAGCTCTAGGTGAAATGAGTGGAACACGTCTGAAAAATAACCACAGCTTTATTCTGTTTTCTTTCAGGAACTGTCTACCTTGACCATGCAGGAGCCACACTGTTCCCCCAGAGTCAGCTTACGAGCTTCACTAATGATCTCATGGAAAATGTTTATGGTAAAGAACAACACACCAAAACTGATTTTTGTACTTGATAGGAGCCAACTACATGCAGCTGACATATCTCTGCTTACCAAATGTCAGATTAATAGACCAGGACTGTGCTGAGCACACAGAGCTGAATGGGCCCCATGGGAGAGGCTGTTCAGCAAGCCCTCGGGTCAGTCCCTATAATGCAAGCGCTGCCAGGATAGGAAAAATTAGCTCAGGGACACACAGTTTACTTCTAGAAGGACGGGTCAGTGTCAGAAGGGCACAGAGGTACAAAGGTGCTATGTTTATGGCAGGATGACCCTGTGGGATAGTACAGTGCAGAGGGTGGGGTGGTGGAAAGGACATTCATGCATTTTTTTTTTAAGATTTATTTATTTATTTGAGAGAGAGCATAAGCAGGGGGGAGGGGCAGAGGGAGAGTGAGAGAGAGAACCTCAAGCAGACTCTGCACTGAGTGCAGAGCCCGATGTGGGGCCAGATCTCACGACCCTGAGAGATCAGGACCTGACCTGAAACCAAGAGTCGGATGCTTAACTGACTGCGCCACCCAGGCGCCCCCATTCTTCCACTCCATAAATGTCTGTTGAGCCACTTTGCTATGGGGAGTACGGTGCTATCTTTTTTTTTTTTTTTTTTAAAGATTTATTTATTTGAGAGAGCGAAAGAGTACATGAGAGGGGGGAGGGTCAAAGGGAGAAGCAGACTCCCTGCTGAGCAGGGAGCCCGATGCGGGACTCGATCCCGGGACTCCAGGATCGCGACCTGAGCTGAAGGCAGTCGCTTAACCAACTGAGCCACCCAGGCGCCCCAGCACGGTGCTATCTTGAAAACAGAGGAAGCACAGTCCCTGCCTTCATGGGCTGTGATCTAGTCAACACAGGACCTTAATCAAGTGAGCTCCCAATAAATGTAAATGACCAGCCCTGTGAAGGGCTACGAACCAAAGGCCCCTGATCCCATGGGGGGTGTGGCTGCAGAGACACAGCATTGGCAGTGTGAGTGTCAGAAGAAGCTGCCTTGGGAGTGGGGTGAGTCCTGGAGGATGAGCAGGGAGTCACGCGGGAAAGAGGAGGAGAAGGGCATTCCAGACAGAGGTGCTAGCATGAACCAAGACCCTTAGTGGTTCCAGGAAGTCGCCCCGCAGCACAGAGAAGGGGCGGAGAGTGGAGGAGGTCTGAGTGGAGAGGTAGGGAGGGGCATTGTACGTGCCCTGCGGAGTTCGATGTTTATTCTAGAAAGCATGGGCACTCACGGCAGCGTGTGATGAGGAGGTAAGCCTGGAAAGGGAGCCTGAACTAAAGGCAGTGGTAGCAGATGCAGCAGGGGTGAGAGCGGTGAGTGCCCCGGTGTCCTGAGCACTCACTCACTTCAGGGACTGCTGCAGACGCTTGAGCTCCACCCTCCCCTCCGTCCTCCCCCGCAAACTTAGCTTATCAGACAGGCTAAGGTAGAGGTTCTGTCCTGTTTTGCAGGTGAGGAAACTGGGCCCCAGACAGAGTAGGTGGCTAACCCATGGCCACGCACTCAGGAAGCACCCAAGCTGGGGGAACTGGATCTCCACGCATTGGGCTCCAGGGCACCAGCCCTTAGCCGGCACCAGACCCCCTCAGTTCATGACAATTCTGTCGCGCCACACTAAGATCCTGGGCAGCCAGCAGATCTTTAAATCTGGGGAATAGTTTCTAGCGGAGATGCCAGTGAGGGACTTTATTTTGATCTTAGTCCGTGATTTGCAAAGAGATCCGCAAGTCTTGAACCTTTCAAGAGTCATAACTGTGGGAACTCTGAGAGGTGACAGCATCTAGACTGTAGGTGGTGCTAATGTTGTGGAGCTAAAAACCAGGGCATTGAGAGTCAGTAAGGTAAGTACCAAGTCCCACTGGTTACTAGTGCATATGGAAAAGGAACATTGGTAGCTTCAGTGGCTAGAAATCCAGTGTGACCCGATGGCATGGTATGAGAAAAGAAACGAACAGACCCTAAAACAAAAAAGGTCACTACTGTGTTAACGTGCACCTCTGGTCCCGCGCCTGTGTGGTCCTGCTCCCGAGAAATACTTGTGCCTGATCCCTGTGCGTCTCGCCCCTTGAGAGGTCTGTGTCCCCGTCTGGGGGCCGTGTTTTGAGGGAGGTAATGATACTATGGGACACACTCAGGGGGGATCCAAGGAGGGGAGAAAAACTAGAAATTGACAAGTGAAGAGGAGAGACGTTAGCTAAGGAGAGATGTGATGGCCCCCTTCACATTTTGGAGGAATTAGGTGTGTTTCTGCAGGAATGATGCCAGTTGCAGGGGTGTGAACACAGGGCAACAGATGGGGATTTAGATTAAGTGGCGTTCGTATGGCTCTGTCTCGTGGTTAGGGGAGAGGGCAGCCTCCTGAGGTTGTGTACTCGGTTCCCTGGAATTATCAGAATCCCCTGTCAGGGAACTTGCAGAAAAGGTTCTTACATTGGCCTGGTTGCCTGTGAGCCGACTTACAGCTCCAGAATGTTCTTCCTGGATCCTACCTTGTTCTACGGGGAATGGTTTATTTTTTAAAAAAAATTGTTTAGAAAAATTGAGTTATATTTTACAAATCATAAAACTCATCTATTTCAAATGTACAATTTAGTGATTTTGGTAACTTTACCAAGTGGTGCTGCTATCACTATAAATCATTTAGAACATTTTCATTCCCCCAATAAGATCTCTGAAGCCTATTTATAGTTAATCCCTGTTGCCCCCTCAGTCCCAGGCAACCACTAATCCACTACTTTCTGAATCCCTTTCTTTCTTTTTTTTTTTTTTTAAAGATTTTATTTATTTTTTTGACAGAGAAAGACACAGAGAGAGCAGGAACACAAGCAGGGGGAGTGGGAGAGGGAGAAGCAGGCTTCCCGCAGAGCAGGGAGCCCGATGTGGGACTCGATCCCAGGATCCCGGGATCATGACCTGAGCCGAAGGCAGACGCCCAACGACTGAGCCACCCAGGCGCCCCTCTGAATCCCTTTCTATACCATTGCCTTTACTGGACATTTCATATAAATGGAATCATACAATATGTGACCTCTTAGCATGTTTTTGCGGGTCATTCATGACATAGCCAGTAGATTGTTCTTTTCTGTTGTGAATATTTTCCCATTGTGTGGGTATATGGCGTCTTGTCTCTCTGTTCGTCAGCTGATGGATATTCATGTTGTTCCCAGAATTTGGCTTTACCAATAAACCTGCCTACGAACACTTCTGTGCATGAATCTTTGTGTGGACATGTGTTTTCACTTCCCTTTAGGATATAGAAGTGGTATTGTTGGGTCATATAGTAGTTGTGTGCTTAACTCTTTGAGAAACTGGAGGAGAGGGTTTCAGAGGAACACAGGAGCAGAAACCGAAGTCGTGACTTGATGGCTTTGTCTCTGCAACCTGCCAGGTAATCCTCACAGCCAGAGCATCAGCAGCGGGCTCACCCACGAAACCGTGGAGCACATGCGCTACAGGTGAGTGCCGCAGGTACCAGTCTGCGTGGGCGCTCCTGGGACGATGGGCTTCTTTCCTACCACCCGCCGCATCCCACAAAGGTTCTGAGTTGGTTTGAGGACGATCACGTTCAGCTAAATGGTCACGTGCCCAGTGACAGCCATCAGGGCCAGAGGGCGGGCAGGTGAGAGTGAGTAGGTAGGAGCAGGGCAGCCCCGAAGCACCGGCGGGTGGCCCAGAGGCGTGCACAGCTGTTGTATGGGGCTTGGGGCTGACGCCAGAGTGCCTGGGGGCCGGAGTGACCAGGAGGGACCCAGTTTCCTAAGTCTCATTTTCAGAGAGAGGAAAAACGTTTCCTTTGGGCTTTCTTCTCATGTTTCATTAGGCACCGTTCATCCTCCCTCCCCAACCTTTTTACTAATATGTGCACCTGAAACAGCTCTTTATATTTTTCCACATGTAATAATCGGTTTTTAGTAAGTAATTTCCAAGTGGTGCTTAAAGTTACTTGAGTTGATATAATTTCAAGTTATTTCCAATTTGCAAGGGATGCTGGGCTGCCAATATTAAAGGCACCATGAAACAAGTTGATGACATAAGCCTCGCTGTGATAGAGCCAGAGAGCAGACCAAGGAGAGGGTGTTTTCTAGGATTAAGAAAGGTTGTTGTGGATGTTTATCTTTTTTTTTAAAAGATTTATTTATCTGAGAAAGGGAGAGACAGAGTGCGAGAGCACGGGGCAGGAGGGGAAGAGGGAGAGAGAGAATCCCAAACACACTCCCCGCTGAGCATGGAGCCCGATGCTGGGCTCGATCTCACGACCCTGAGATCATGACCTGCGCAGAAATCAAGAGTCGGAGGCTCGGAGGCTCGACCGACTGCACCACCCAGGTGCCCTGTGGATTTTTATCTTCTCTATTGAGGGTGGGGACATTGGAGGTGAAGCTGCTTTTGCCAATTAGAACCTGTTTGTCATTTCCTCGTGCAGCTTGCTCTGCACCTGCCCTCACTTGGCCATTGTGGCAAAGCTGATCTGGGTTTTTTCCTAAATACGAAGGCAGAGAGAGAGGTCCTATGTAGTAGAGATACAGCTGCCTCTGAGCATGTGAACCCAGGGAGACCACGGAGTTGGCATGACGCTGTGCTTCTTCCAGGATTCTGGCGCACTTCCACACCTCCCCGGAGGACTACAGCGTGATTTTCACGGCAGGAAGCACGGCTGCTCTTAAGCTGGTGGCAGAGGCCTTCCCGTGGGTGTCCCCGGGCCCGGAGAGCAGTGGGAGCTGCTTCTGTTACCTCACCGACAGCCACACCTCCGTGGTGGGCATGAGGAAGGTCACCATGGCCATGAACGTCACCTCCGTCCCGGTCAGGCCAGAGGACATGTGGTCGGCAGAGACACAGGGCGCGGCCGCCCGTGACCCCGACTGCCAGCTTCCGCATCTGTTTTGTTACCCCGCGCAGAGTAACTTTTCCGGAACCAGATACCCCCTGTCCTGGATACGAGAGGTCAAGGCTGGGCGGAGGTGCCCTGTGAGCGTGCCTGGGAAGTGGTTCGTGCTGCTCGATGCAGCCTCCTACGTGAGCACCTCCCCTTTGGACCTGTCGGTTCACCAGGCCGACTTTGTCCCCCTCTCCTTCTATAAGATCTTTGGATTCCCTACCGGCCTGGGCGCTCTGCTGGTGAATAATCGTGTGGCTCCTCTGCTGAGGAAAACCTACTTTGGAGGGGGCACAGCCGCGGCGTACCTTGCAGGAGAAGACTTCTATATCCCGAGACGCTCGGTGGCTGAAAGGTAACCTCACTGTGGCAGTGGCGGGCTGGAATTCAGCAAGGGGGCTGGCCTACGTCACCCACAGGGTGTGCAAGGGACCAGACTGGCCACTGGGGTCAGGGGGCTTGGAGTCGGAGGCAGGGATGGAGGCTGGCGGCCGGGCTCAGATCTGGGAGGCGGAGGCTGGCTGGGGCGTGCCCTAGGCGGCTCAGTGAACTGGGCCCCCATTTGTGGGCTTCTCCACAGCTACGAGAGGACGAGGGCTGCAGGCAGGAGAGGTGAAGGGCTCTCAGGAGAGGAAGGAGGGTGGGCCACCAGGCCTTTTCCCAGAGCACAGACAACAGGTGCAGCAGTTTATTCAAGCAGTCCTTTAGAAGATGGCATCATTTGGAACAAGTTAGCGAACGGACGGCCCAGCTGGTGATTCAGCTGCGGAATCCGCTCAGCCCGGCAGCTGGTGGGCAAGAAGATTCCGTTAATTCAGAAGCCACCAGATGTGTGGGGCACTGTTAACAGCCGCGTGTGTGAGCCCTGTGAGTGACAAAGCGACTTTGAGGGCAGGCAGCTACTGGCCGGCAAATGGCATAGGTGGGTTTGTGGGTTTCTGTTTCTTCCTCAGGCTGCAGGGCAGGTGGCGTGGGGAGCCAGGAGCTCTCCCAGGGGGTGATGGCTGGGCCCATAAGGTCGAAGGCGGGAGAGGGTGAAAACAACAGCTGACCGAGGGTTCTGCCGGGGCCAACATCGGGGAACACCATGGGATTGGGCCAGGGAGCTAGTCACCCTGCTGGTGCGTCAGAAGGCCCGGGCCTGGATGGGAAGGCGGGTCAGATCCCCCCCAGATCCGGGGGCAGACTCAGGGTTCTGCAGATAGGGCCGTGTCCCCAGCAGTAGAGTCAGTCAGTGGTCAAGTGTGTAGGCCCCAGGGCTGGGTTGCTGGCGGGGGAGTCCTGGCTTTACCGCACACTAGCTGTGGGGACATGGACATGTGACTTGGTCTCTGCACCTCATGTTTTTCTTTCTTTCTTTTTTAAAGAAACAGAATCTTCTTTATTTTTATTTTTTTATGATTTTATTTATTTATTTGACAGAGAGAGAGAGACAGCACAAGCGGGGCGGGGTACGGGGGTGGGTAACAGCAGAGGGGAGGGAGAAGCAGACTTCCTGTTGAGCAGGGAGCCTGATGAGGGGCTCGATCCGAGGACACTGAGATCATGACCTGAGCCATCCAGGCGCCCCTCTTTTAATTCTTAAAGCTTCATATTAAAATATGAAGCATAATATTTCCACTGAAAGCTTCAACTTGCTTTGATAACTCACAGCCTGGCCCACAGAGGCTGCCGTTTGTCACCATCCTTCATCCCCATGCTCCCTGAAACCTCCTGTTTCTGAGCTTCCCCCCTCTCCTGCAGTAGTCTGAAGACTGACTCTGCTTGACAAAGCCTGGGTCCCATCCTGTCCCTGCTCTCTGCTCAGAGCTCTTCAGACACAAGGTATCTCCCCAAGGTAGATGTTCTCTGACTTTATCTCCTACCACTCTCCACCTTGCCAGCTCATTCCCAACTCACCCCCAGCTCATGCACACTCACTCCCGGCCGCACTGATGTTCTTACCGTTCGGGAAGTGTGCCTGCCTCGGCCTCCTCAGGGTGTTTGCTGCAATCTCTCCCTGGGACGCCATTTCCCTCTGAAACTGTGAACTCAGCTGTTTAAAAGATGATATTTGGGTTCCATAGAGTTTGGAACGATAGTGTTTCCAAGATGATGTGTGGTTCCATAGAGTTTGGGATCACTGACATGGAGTACATTGATCATGCTTAACTGATGCCCTGTCAGTGGTGTTCTCTTGGGGTCAAGGGCAGCATTTCAAGAGCCCGAAGCACTTGAGGTTTTGTCAAAATCTTCATGGGGGCAGGATAGCATTTCTCAAGGTGGTGACTGTCTTTAGCTCCCTTTACCCCTGTGGCCATCCTCTCCCAAGAAAGCTGCCGAGCAAGTCAGGGCCAGAGGTGGCCCCATGGGTCTTGGTGTGCGAAGCCCTCTGTCCTGATAGGGAGAACGAGCAGTGGTCTATTAGGCAGCAGAAAGAAGGTATTCAGAGATTATGGCTAAGCCTAAAATCAGAACCTTGTTACACTCCACAGAACGCACACAGAGAAGTTGGCCACAGCTTGACCTTGTTTCCCTCAACACTGTTACAGGTTTGAAGATGGCACCATCTCGTTCCTTGATGTAATAGCACTAAAACATGGATTTGATGCCCTAGAGCGCCTCACAGGTCAGTGGACCCTTCCCTCCATGTCAGATTTGCTCCCGGAATGGGCACGGTTTAGGTAAGGACGTGGGTCTGTGTGAGTGGCTGGCACTTGGCTGCTGAACCCTGGATGAAGCTGAAGCTTATTCTCAAGAACTTCAGAATGATTTCTGAGGCAAGAGCAAGAGACTGAGGTGCCTTTGTTGTTGTTGTTGTTGTTTTGCCAGTTAAAAGAACATTTTAATGAGTAAGAGATATTATAAATTGGAGATGAGTAGCTTCATAGTCCCTGGACTGGGAATGGTTACAGATCCGGAGACCTCATTCTGCCGTTCCCTTGCTGGGTCCTCCCTCCTGTCACACGGGGGAGCTGTACGTTGAGCCCACTTTGCCCATGAGGAGCTAATACTCAGAGAGGTTAAATGCCTTCCCCAGGGTCAGGGACCTAGTAATTGAGAGGGCAAGGATTTCAGCCTAGACCATAACAATGCCTAACCCTGGCGCGCCTGGGGGGGCTCAGTCGGTGAAGCCTCTGCCTTCGGCTCAGGTCATGATCCCGGGGTCCTGGGATCGAGCCCCGCATCGGGCTCCCTGCTCTGCAGGAAGCCTGCTTCTCCCTCTCCCACTCCCCCTGCTTGGGTTCCCTCTCTCACTTGTCTCTCTCTCTGTCAAATAAATAAATAAAATCTTAAAAAATAAAAGCCTAACCCTGAGTCCCAACCACTGTCTCTCCTGTTGACCTTTGCAATAATGCATGTTTTCTTTCCTGGTAAGTGGGGTGTGTAGGCAGGGGGGAGACATTCACTGTAGGCTGACACGCCAACAGATGTCACTTCCCATCATGTGGAGCTTGACACAAAGGTATACACGACTAGAAGAGCCTCTGACTCATGAGCCAGGCAGCCACCATCCTGTTGTTATCCTGGGCACTCCTCCAGAGGGTGAGCTTCTAGAACTGGGTGGTACTGTTTGTACCATCCATATGGAAATGGAGTTGTGGTGAACCAGGGATGTGGCTTAATGATTAGGTAGTCCTTCCTTTCTCTCTCTCTGGTCACAATAATGAGACCCTTCAAGTTCTCAACCTGACCCTGATACTGGAGGCAGAAAGGATTCTTGGGAGGGGAAGGGTGGGTAGCCCTGATGGTAATACAGGGAGGTGAGTGGACATCATCCAGGACAAGAGGAGATAATAAAGACAAGCACTGAGCGATGAGCACTTTTCCAAGGGAAGATATTAATAGATACCCACACCGCAAGCTACAGGTCTGATGGGGACCGTGGCACCTCTGAACTGAAAGCAGACTGACCATATCAGTTCCCCAATAAAGCAAACCCTGATTATTCCTACTTATTTGCTCCTTTGGAAAAAAATGTGAACTATCTGTAACATAAAATGCACCCTTTTAGCCAATTTAAGCGTACGTTTCAGTGGCATTAAGTACGTTTACCTTGTTATGCAGCCATCCAGCACTGACCATCTCTAGGACTTCTGCATCATCCCAAACTGAAACTGTACCTATTCGACAGTAACTCCCCTTTGCCCCTTCCCCCAGCCCAAGTAATCTCCTTTCTCTTTTCTGTCTCTACGAATTTGCCTATTCTAGGCATTTATAGAAGACACAGTATTTGTCCTTTTGTGTCTGGCTTATTTCACATAATGTTTTCAAGGTTCATCCATGTTGTAACACGTATCCTTAATTGATTTGAAGAGTGTTAAAATGATTTAAACATTGAAAGAAACAGCAAAAAAAAAGATACATTTAAAGATAAAATTGTGACCTGGCTGGGTCAGTTGGTGGAGTGTGAGACTCTGGATCTTGGGGTTATGAGTTCGAGCCCCGCATTGGGTGTAGAGATTACTTAAAAATAAATTTTAAAAAATTAAAAAAATACAAATAAAGATAAAATTGTGCATTTTTGCCATCTGTAACCCAAGGGTCTAAATTAAAAAAAGAAAAGCGAACGATGACAAGAATTCCTTTGACGATTCCACAGAACAGCAACAGTGAGGTGTTGGTCAGGGCCCCACATCTACACATTAACCACACGGACAGTACTACGCACTATCTACCAGTATTTACAACCATTAACCTGAGCTCCAGCTTGGTGGTTAGAATGATCTTGTTTTTCTTAAAAATGAGTGAGGGGCGCCTGGGTGGCTCAGTCGGTGAAGCGTCTTGCCTTCGGCTCAGGTCATGATCTCAGGGTCGTGGGATCGAGCCCCACGTCAGGCTCCCTGCTTAGCAGGGAGCCTGCTTCTCCCTCTCCCTCTGCGTCTCCCCCTACTTGTGCTCTCTCGCTCTCAAATAAATAAATAAATAAATAAATAAAGCGAGTGAGTGAATTACAGGTGAAGTTCATGTTTCTCTCTGACGTTTCACTATCGTTTTTGAGGCGGAATGGAGAATATAAAGCAGCATACCTTCACCTTGGCTCAATACACCTACGCTGCCCTGTCTGCCCTCCGGTACCCCAGTGGAGCCCCTGTGGTGCGGATTTACAGCGACTCTGAATTCAGCAGCCCGGAGGTCCAGGGTCCGGTCATCAATTTTAACGTGCTCGACCCCAGTGGGAACATCATTGGTTATTCCCAGGTGGGTCTCCTCGCCACCTCGCACCCTCATTCACAGCAGAAACGCAGTCCTCTGGCACTCTGCCGCCTTCTGGAGCCCTGAAACGTGCGGTGTGGGTCCCGGGGCGCTTGGGGCGGCTGTGTGTGAAGGGCAGCCCGGGCGTGGGTGCAGGGACCCCGGCCCTTTCTTAGAGGCTCCGTACTCTCGTTTCCACGCCATTCTAACTGGCATGGCTGTTTAATTTACCAGCCCTCCTTTTTCAGCCAGAAATTGTCAATTTTGAGTGCAAGGAGAGGGACGCAGAATGTTGATCGCAGTGGAAGGGGACAGCTGACAGCTTGCCAGCAAGGGAAGGCACCCTAAAAGAGTGTAGACAGAAAAGCAGTGTAAGACAGAATAGTACTTCTCAGGTCGTTTCATGTCTATTCAGCATGACGGCCCCAGTGACCGGATCACGGCATCACACAAAACGTGGGCCTGTTACCACCATGTATTTGCATGTGGCTTGGAATTCAGAACTCCTTCTTAATGACAAGTATCACAAAAGCCCTTATTTCTGCCATAGTTCATGCATATTATGAGTTCAAAGGATTTAGTAGTTTGGTTATAAAATAGTTTGTGCAAAAGTGCCCCTTGCGTCTATTTTCCCATGAAAACAGGGCAAATAGTGGAGGTTGGGAACTGCTGGGGTCCTTGCCATAGCTGAGTAAGCTGGTCACTGTTCAGTCCATTAAAATGTCCAGAGTCATAGCAAGCACTCAGACATGGTGGTAGATGGTCACCAGATGGGGTGTCACAGGCTAGCTGGGATGGGGAGCCCGAGGCCCGTCCCAGAGCATGGGTTCCTAGAGCAGCTCTGTGGGGAGCAGTTTCAATGGTCAGATAAGTTTGGAAGAAAGTGCTCATCTTCCCTTGAAAGCCATAATCCCCATTCACCTTTGTTAAATGCAGAATTTCTCAAACAAAATCCATTTCTCAAGGAAGCATATCCACCCCCTCTTCTCAATAGCTATAAAGTATCTGAGGAACAAAGTTGAGAACTATGCTTCTGGGGACATGTCGGTTCTTACTGGTATCTGGGAGGGGACATTTTACAACCACAGGTTGTCTCTTGGGTAGATTTACTGTGCAGACCCCCGCTCAGTAAGTCACTGGCTGGCCGATGCCACAAGGAAGCATGTGATTTTAAATGCTTTTGGAGGATGGTGGAAAATGCATCAGGAGGAAACGTTTTGCCTTCTTAAATACATTATTCTGGGTGACTGGTAAAGTAAGTCTCATTCTTGGACCTAAATAAGTTTGTATTTCCTGCGTGGTATGGAGGAGGACAGACAGGTGACGGTGAAGTATGCTGTGTCAGGCAGAGCAGGGAGGGAATGCCTCATTTGGCCAGAGAAACCTCGAAAAGGAGAAGAGCCCTGCGGTGGGGGCAGGGGGAGACACCTGTCTAGGTGTCCTGCTGACTTCACTAGGTCTCTTATTCCACAAGGCTGGACCCAGGACAAGTTTCTCCGTCTATGTGTCTGTAGAAGTGGCTGGTCACGTGAGGGACCAGGGGATTCCATGGCTGAGGCCTGGAACTCCAGCCTGGTTTCCCCAGGCTCCTTCCCTGTGTGGGAATTCCACAGGGATATTGGTGGCCTTCAGAAAGATCAGATGGTTTCATGGCTGGGTTGGGCTCTCTTTTCAGGAGATTTCAAAAGAATCTGTGATTCTTTTCAAAGTTAGCTTTCCATAAGAAGCTTTGGGGTTCTAGTTTTTGATATCATGCCTCCTAATTCCATTCTTCCCTCCGTGGAAGTCACTCTACTCAGTGGTTAAGCATGTGGGCTCAGATTCTGACTGCCTTTTGTTGGCTCTGTGAGCTTGGGCAAGTTAGTGTAAACACTCCAAGTGTCCATGAAATGGGGATGACAAAGTACCCTGCTGATAGTGTTGCTCTGAGGACTGAATGAGATATGCTATTGAATGCCGAGCACGGGGCCCAGTAGGAAGCAAGTGCTCAGTAAACGCTGAGCATGAAGGCACCTGGGTGGGGAGGCTCCCATGCTGCACTCTGGTCAGGCTGCTTTCTCGATGTCCCTGGATGTTGTGCTCATCCTGCTGCTGAAACCAAATCCTTCACCTGGTCAGGCACGGGCTGGGATCCCACGGGGCCCAAGGTGAGGGGGTACCGCCTCATGATGGGAAATTAGGAGGAAGGGTTAGGTGTGGCCCAAACAGCCTCTTGTAGGTGGGGGCCTTCTCTCTTCTTGAATCTTGGTGGGTTTGTGACTCGCTCATAACCAGGAGAATGCCACAGAAGGGACGCTGCGTGGCAGCCACATCAGCATTATTCCTTGGGACGTCCACTTCTGGGCCCCAAGTTACCACGTAAGAAGGTCTACACTGAGGCTGCCATACTCTGAGGAAGCCAGCCATGTGGAGAGGCCAAGCACAGGCCCTCTGGTGGCAGTCCTGTTTTGAGCCCTCCTGGCTGGGAGGCCAGACACACACACACACGCGCGCGCGCGTAAGTGAGTCTCCAGATGATTTCAACTCCCAGACACCACGTCACTCCCAGCCTTGGCGTCTTCCCTGCTGAGACTCGGGAAATCATGGAAAAGAGTCAAGCATCTCCTCTGCGCTCTTTCCAAATTCCTGACCTACTGTAGCTGTGAGCACAAAAAAATGGTTATTATTTTGTTCCACCAAGTTTGGTGGCTTGTCTCGCAGCAGTGGTAACACACTGTGAATGTGGAGTGTGGGGGTAGGCACAGGAGACTTCAGTTTCCAGTTGGCAGGGGTTGCGGTGGGGCAGTGAGGGAGCCTCCTGAGCAGCTACCCGTTGAAAGGAGGCCACCTGACTCTGGAGATGGGGTTGGCCTGACCCAGTGATGCTGCCAGGTCTCAGCTCTGAGCACCGGAGAATGCCTGAATTTCATTAGCAGGTCTCCACGTCACTGAACTATTTGCCCAGGCTGAAGGAGCAGAGTTGCTTTCCTGAGGCCCCTCAGTTCAACCCAGAGAATGGCTTCTTCTCACTCTGACAGCCCAGGGGAGGCAGCTAACATGAAGACAGTCCTGGTCTCACCACTGTGGGAGGCAACAGCAATAGCTGTTGCAGCTGCTGGAAGCACATGCTGACCATGTGGTGACATCCTTTAACACCGGTTTCATGTCATATTGAACCCACAGGTGGATAAAATGGCCAGTCTTTACAACATCCACTTGCGAACTGGCTGCTTCTGCAACACGGGGGCCTGCCAGAGGCACCTGGGGATAAGCGACGAGATGGTCAAGAAGCATCTTCAGGTTGGTAATGCTGGCCATTTCCCATGGTGGCCTCTCCAACCACCCTGGAGGCTGGTCTCGTGTCTGGGGTCAGAGATCCCAACCAACCATGAACTGGATTTTACTTAAAAAGAGGAAGGCCTGCTACAGAAACAAATGCAGCTTTAGATAGAATATTTGATCCTGCGGAGTGTTGTGACCCCAACTCTTTAGGTGACTGGCCTGGGTTCAGCACTGGGGCAGGTAGGTGCCCTGAGCAGCGACCGATACCGGGCGGCCCCGCTTGGAGAGGATGGGGGACCCCTCGCCTCTCTTTCCCCACCTCCCAGCAGGAGCACCCAGCCTGCTTTGGCTTTTGTAGTGGCCTTGGCTGGTCGTTCACAGAGGGAGCATCTCTGTCTTGCCTTGTCAAAGGGCAGCTCTCAGGGATGCAGTCCTCCCTTTGGTTCTGAGAGAGGCTCAAGGGAGCGACCAGCAGGTGTTTCTCCTGCCTCAGCCCAGGGGAGACCAAGAAGCTGACCCATCACGCTCCTGAAACTTTGGTCTGTCTTTTGACGTGTCTGTGGGTTGGCATGGTGTGTGGCTCTGGGTAAATACCTCCCGTGCAGTATTTCTTCTAAACTTTTTAATGATCCATTGAGATTGGTATTGAGCCCAATTTACACCTGAGCAAAGCGAGATTCACAAGGGAGTCCTCATGCTTAGGAGAGCATGGCTCAGGCACACAGTGCCTGTTACTGTTGCGGTTTCTTGTCCTGGGTTAAGTTTCTTCTCCAAAACGATTTCCAGTTTATCCATGCGGAATGAGTCCCTCTGGCTGACTTATTTCCCTTTTATTCTAGGCCGGTCATGTCTGTGGAGACAATGTGGACCTCATAGAGGGGCAGCCTACAGGGTCTGTGAGGATTTCCTTTGGATATATGTCTACACTTGAGGATGCCCAGGCTTTTCTCAGGTTCATCATAGCAATGCAACTGCACAGGTCTGATGGACAGCCCCTCCCTCAGACCACCGCTGGGGAGGCTGGAGCCCTGTCAGAGAGCGAGGCTCAGGACGCCGTGCCGGCCACCACGGACGGATGTAGTTCCTCACCTCAGGAAGAGGCCCCCACAGCCTCTAGGGTTTGCAACGACTTGCCGAGCACTGTGGATGCAGGCGGTTCGCACTCACCTCCACTGATGGCCACCGGGACCCAGCAGACCCCTTCAGAGAAAGCTGTAGGAGTCCTGGATGGGGGCCTTGGGCCACATGTCATCACCAACCTTTACCTCTACCCGATCAAATCCTGTGCTGCATTTGAGGTAAGGGTTTTAAAGGCGGCACACAGACTGCTTTTTGTTGTTGTTGTTGTTGTTTACTTCATGACTTTTTTTTGATAAAGTGAAGAAAAAAGGACAGAAGGTAAAGCAAAGCATGCAGAAAATCAAAATCATATTCGGAGTGTTGTGACATATGAAGGGTCGTTCTCATTCTGCCTTTCTTGGTTTGGGCTGACTTTTGAACGTGGCTCTACTTGGATGTATGCCGGAAATGATCCTGGTTCTGAATGGTGAACACCTACTTACTCTTAATAATTATAGATATAATTTTCACTGAATGCATGTGCTGGTTCCCTGCTGAAGCATTTTATATGCTTTGTTTCAGTCCGTCTTTAAAACAACAATATGAGGTGCATGGGAGTATCATCCCCATTTTATAGATAGCCTGAGGGCTATTGAGGTTAAGCACTTTGCCCAGTAATTGATGAGAGAGGAAAGATTTGAATCTGGGTCTGCTGACTCCTTGGGTCAATGCTTTTATGTGACTTGTTCTGCTCAGCCCTCCCTGTGGATATGAACTGTGTTATGTCTTGAAATGTGCCGGCCTGGTGGTTACCTGAGCTGGGAGGCTGGGGTGCCCGCCTTGGCTGGCCAGCCAGCCCTGACACCCCTGCAGTGGCCAAACTGAAGCTATCATTCTATGACCTGTGTGTGTCCCAAGTCCCAGGCAAAGGTCCCAGACTCCTGAGCCTCTGGAATAACAGGCTCTTTGGTTCCTGGTCAGACATACCATGGTCAGGGCTGTTTGTGGCCTGCCTTTCAGGGTGGTCCTATGGGAGCCTGTCCTCCAGGCTGAGACCGTAACAAGCAAGTTCACTTTCACTTCCTAATGGAGGAAAGTGAGAAGTCCATGTTTCCCGTGTGTGTCAGGACTCGTATTTTTCACAGACTGGTCATGTTCCATAGGATAGCCACATAGCACAGATACCTCAGGGAGGAATTAGCATCCCATTTTATAGATGAGGACACTGAGACTCAGTAAGGTTTGCTGAAGGTCTTCTATCCATCTTCTCATTCAAAAACTGCATACCAAGGACCTGCTATCTACCAGGCCTTGGGCCAACACCTGGTATACATTGATGAGCAAAATGGAAAATGTTCCTTCCCTTAGAGAGTGCAGTATCTCAGAAGGGACAGACACAAGACCAAGCACCACCCAAGTGAATAGAATCACACTGGTGATAAGGGCCCATGAAGACATGAAGATAGAATTCTGGCAGATGGATGTCTTAGTCCATTCCGGCTGCCATAGCAAAGTGCCATCAACTGTGTGGCTTATAAACAACAAAAATTTATGTCTCATGGTTCTGGAGGCTGCAAGTCCAAGATCAAGGTGCTGGCAGATTCGATGTCCAGTGAGGGTTCACTTCCTGGTTCAGAGACAGTATCTTCTCGCTGTGTCCTCACCCGGCAAAGGGGTGAGGGAGCTCTCTGGGGCCTCTTTTCTAAGATCTTTAATCACATTCATGACAGCTCCACCCTCATGATCTACTCACCTTCCAAAGACCTCCTAACCCCCAAAGTGAGGGTATTATCTGAGGTTTCCTTATGATTTCTGTAGTTTTGGCAGGAATGCCTTAAGAGTGATACTATGCTTTCTCAGTGCATCCCAGAAGGAGACACACACTGTTCATTTGTCCCAATGCTGGTGACATTAACGATCATCATTTGCTTAAGATGGGGCTCAGTATTTTGTGGAGAGATATTTTGAGGATATGTAAATATCCTATTCCTTGTCAAACTTTTATTCACTAGATTTAGCATCTATTGATGACTTTTGCCTAAATCAATGATTGGAATGATGATTGCAAAATGGTAATTTAAGAAATTCCATCATTCTTTTTAGACTTATTAGTTGCTATTCTATTGTAGGATAGAGCTTTCCTTCTTCCATGTTTATTTAGTCATTAATTCTTCTCTCTCTTTTTGTATCTTCATGGACTCATGGATGCTGATTTTGCTCAAAAGGTTGCAACCCATCTTTATCAGTATTTATTTTGATGCTTAAATTGCTGCAGACTTGGCCACTGGGAGCTCCTTCAAGTTAGATCCTGTGTCCTTTTGATATGTCCCTGTTATTCCTTGAGCATTTCCTTACTTTCTGGTGCAATAATGTGTTCTAGGCTCATTCTATATGCCCCCTGCCTGAGAAATGGAATGGGTCATTTCATCAAAGGCACTTCACTTCTTACATCAGGGAATGACATTGAGAAACTAATACTTGGTTGCCAAGTCTGATCCTTGACCTTGCTCCTATGCCCTCTGAGTGTACAGAGCTTAAAAATATTTGCTGTTGTGACAGATTATCATAAACTTTTAACAGGACTCATCTGATTAGATTGGACCCACCTGGATAACCCGGGAAGATCTCCCCATTGTAGGGTCCTCAACTTTAATCGCACCTACAAGTCCCTTTTGCCTAATTCCAAGGATTAGGATGTGGACATGTTTAGGAGGACCATTATTCTGTCCACCACATATATGTACGTGTTAAGACTTTTGGGATACTCTGCATACATGTGTGCATATACATATCTGTATTTTTATATCTATCTATCTATTAACTATCAATCTATCATCTGTCTCTACCAGCTAGCCATGCTCCCAATTTCCCACTAACACCTCCACTTCCAATCCAATACCACATTGTTTATTCTATCTATACTCCTCTCCATACTTGTAACTCCTGTCAGAAACCTGGCTTCTATACTTTCACCAGATACTTATTTGCTCAACTCCTCCTTCTGTAACCAAACCCCCGCTGCAGCAGCTGAAGGCTCAGCTCCACACATGCCAGTTCCCTCCCTCCCTCAGGAAGAAGAAAGGAGAAAAGGGGAAGCCAGCACATTACATTTTTAGACAGCAAAATAAAAGAAAATTATAGACCTATTTCCACAAATAGGTGAAGAACTGTGAAGAGTCTGAGGTTTGCCCTCCTTGTAAGCTAACGAGCTAGCCTGCCACAGTGTTCTCGATGCTGGCAGAAAACACGAGACTCCTGGGTCAGAGACAAAGGGCTTTATTACTCACAGAACAGCAGGCAGCATGAGCTTCATGTTTGTGTTGCTTCCTGTGCCCCCCAAGTCCCAAGAGGGGTTACAGAGGTGCCCAGGCAGATGGTGTGCACATGGCTGAGGAAGCCCTCCCTCAGGGAACCGTACTCATAATAGGATGTGAGCAAACATGTCTAGCCGTTGCTCAGAGGAAGACATTATAATAGTGGACTGTGAGCAAACCTGTTCTCCTACCCAGAGGCTTATATTCACTGTATTTACTTGTATTCAATATACAAACATACTCAGAAAGGTAGTCTGGAACGAAAGGGCAGTTAGTACTTCTGCTCGTGACAACAGACACACAGAAACAAGAGACCTGAAGATCGTCTCCCAGTAACACATTGTCTTCTAAGAAGTTATTTGTAATTCAAAACATATTTTCCTATAGAAATAATGATGGTGGTTTCTGGGCTTTCCTATAGAAATAATATTTAATAATAGATAAATAAGAAATAATGATGGTGGTTTCTGGGCTTACCCGTGAAGGCTTATAGACCATAATATTGCAGAGCTTGAGTGTTGGACCAACAGAAGCAGCTATAGTCTGTGGGGAGACTATTGGATACATGAGAAAAAGTGAAGGGAGAGGTAAAGAGATTAACACCTATGGATCATCTGATATATTTTAGTTGCTTTACATTTTATATTTCATTTTAGCTTTTAGCCGATACTATAAGAAATGATAATAATGTCCATCCTACATGTGACAAAGCCAAGACTCAGGAAGGTTAGGAAGTTGTTCAAAGCTAATAACGGTTGAGGTGGGATTTAAACCCAGGTCTGTCAGTCTCCACAGTGCCCGCACCCCCCATTACATGACATTTCCACTTCCTGAATACAGGGCCCGCCCTGCTTGAGGTGAAGCTTACCTTGACTTTCTTCCTCCTTGAGTTCTGTGCCCTCCCCCTGTGCCCTGTAACTCCTCTCCTTTACTTTCCGTGGTGCCTCAGTCTTCCCTGAGGTCCCTCCCTGGAAGACCCACCCCAAAATGCCCCTTCATTAAAAATTGCTTCCCACTCTTCATCACCCACTATTGAAGTTTTCAGGTTCTTTTGGGTAGCTGAATTGAGTGCTCAGAGGAAAACAATTGGGTGAAATGGATTCCTTCACAGTTCGAGAATGATTGTCTCTTAACTACTTCAAAAGTATTTTTTTCGCCTTTGCCTATGCTTTTCTTCAGTGGAGAGCTGGTTCCAGAAGAGCCGTCACTGATGGGGCTACTGGACATGGGCTGTTGCCTGCAGTGCTGTTAGCAACGAAGCTGTGGACAAAAGTCCTGTGAAGACCTGGCATTGAAATGTCATTAGTTTTTCTCTAATGCCCTTTTTCTGTTCTAGGATCTCATCCCAGATGTCATATTGTATTTAGCGGTCATGTCTCCTTAGGCTTCTGTGGGCTGTACCGGTTTCTCAGACTTTCTTTGTTCTTGATGACCTTGACAGTTTGAGGAGTACTGGTCAGGTATTTTTTAGCATGTCCCTCAATTTGGGTTTGTCTGATGTCTTTCTCATGGGGTTACGGGTTTTTTTTTTAGGAGGAGGACCACAGAGGCAAAGTACTATTCTCATCATATCATATATCATATTGTATTATTTCATATCATATCATATCATATCATAGTACATACTGTCAACGTGACTTCTCACTATTGATGTTAATTAACTCTGATCTCTGATTGAGAGAGTGTTTATCAGGTTTCTTCACTATAAAGTTTCTCCTCCACCCCCTTTCTGTACTGAACTCTTTGGAAGCAAGTGAATAAGTATAGCCTACATGTAAAGGGTGGGGAGTTATACTCCTCTTTCTTGAGGGGGAGCATCTACATCAATTATTTGAGGTTCTTCTGTATGGGAGGTTTAACTTTTCTTATTTATATATTTGGGCATTTATTTGTTATTTATTCAATCAGGTATTTATTTCAGTATTGACTCCTGAATATGTATTTTATATGTTGGGTTATAATACGGTACTACATCATTCTTATTTTTGCTCAAATTGTTCCAGTTTTGGCCAGTAGGCATGCTTTCAGCTGACTCCTGCCTCCCTTTGACATACTCCCATCATTTTGTTTTTTGAGTATTTCCTTACTTTTCTACCACTGCCAGATGCTCCTGACCCAGCCCTAGAATCAGCCATTTCTCCAGTGACCAGGCCAGGATAGCCATAGTTTGTGCGAGAAATATGTCTATAGTAAGGGGGTAGGCCTATGCAGCATTCACAGCTGTGGAAGGATAGAGAAAAAGTGAGAGTGATGGAAGTCTGTGGGGAGGGGAGCTTCGAGGTGGGGTGGAGTGGAGACTTACTTTCCATGCACACTCTTGTTTTCTCTGAGTGTTGCTCCATGCACACACATTACCCCCTTAAAAGACAGGTTGAAGAGGAGAAGGGTAGGAAGTGGCTCTGGAGGGTGAATGGAAAGAATCTAGCGCTCACATGGTCTCCTTTGCATTGTCTACTCGGCTTTACTTTCTGTTCTTCTTCATTTCCTCCTTCAAGAGTGTGTGCTGCATTCATTAAGTCTGTCTGTATTTGTGCAGCCACAGTGCAATAATGTGGAGACCATTTTTGAGAAGCTCTGTCCTAAAACACACTTACCTTTTTGTTTAGGTGACCAAGTGGCCCCTAGGAAAGCAAGGGCTGCTGTATGACCGGAGCTGGATGGTTGTGAACCACAATGGTGTGTGTCTGAGTCAGAAGCAGGAGCCCCGGCTCTGCCTGATCAAGCCCTTCATTGACCTGCAGCAGAAGATCATGGTCATCAAAGCCAAAGGTGTGAAAACTGGGTTCATTTTCACAAATCAACTGTCAAGAGTAGCTTTTATACTCCTGTGAAGGTAAAATAATAGGTTTTCCTCTACCAAATATTAAAATAATCCTAAAGTAAGTCCAATGTTGTCTAAGAGACCACACAAAGTTCTTGCTCCTTGTGTTTTGAGAAATCTCAGGAGCGAGGTAAAGATCTGACAAATCACTCAGAAAATAAGTATAAAATTTAAAATTATGTCTTTTCACTTACATTCCCTTTATTTCAGTCACTTGTCATAATACATACTCAAGCTTTAATTCTTCCTTGTTGACTTTTTGTTATGAACTATCTAACATATATGAAAGTATAGATCAGCTCTGTCCAATGGAACTTTATGTGTTGATGGAAATGTGTAATGTCTATATTGTCCACATTGGTAGCCACTGGTTACATGTGGCTACTGAGCACACGAAATGTGGCTAGTGGGAAGTGCACAGGTCAGTAGTGTTTTTGTATGTTCACGAGGTTGTGCAACCATCACCACTATCAACTTCAGAACATTTTCATCTCCATAAAAGAGAAACTTCGTAGCCATTAGTAGTCACTCCCCATCGCCAGCCTCATCCCTGACCCCCGGCAACCACTAATCAAATTTCTGTTTCTATGGATTTGCCTATTCTGGATGTTTTGTGTAAATGGAATCACACGGTATGTGACTGGCTTCTTTCGCTTAGCACCATGTTTTCAAGGGTCATCTATAGTGTTGAATAATATTCCATTGCATGGATATATCATTTTGAAAAATCTATTTAGTAGTTGATGGATATTTAGATTGTTTCCACTTTTTGGCTATTAGAAATCATGCTGCTGTGAACATTTGTGCACAAGTACAAGTTTTTGTGTACAAGTTTTATGGGGCCATATGTTTTCCATTCTCTTAGGTATGTACCCTAGGAGTAGAATTGCTGGGTCATGTTGGAACTGTATGTTCAGCATTTCCAAGGTGGCTGCCACACCATTTTACATTCCCACCAGCAATGCACGGCGGTTCTCACTTCTCCGCGTCCTCAACACCTGTTATTTTGTTGCTGTTTTTCAGTAGTCATCGTAGTGGCTGTGTAGTAGTACCTCTGCAGCTTTGATTCGCATTTCCTTAATGACTAATGATGTTGACTATCTTTTCTTGGGTTTATTGGTCATCTGTATATCTTCTGCAGAAAAATATCTATTCAAAGTCTTTGCTTATTTATTTTTGAATTATTGAGTTGTAAGAGTCCTTTCTGTATTCTATATACAAGTCCCATGTCAGATCGATGATTTTCAAATATTTTCTCTCATTGTGTAGGTTGTCTTTTTACCTTCTTGATGGCTCCATTTTACTTTTAATCTGTCTGCCTGTATCACAATATTTAAAGTGAGTTTCCTGTATCCAGCATAGAGTTGGCGCGTGCTTTTTTATCCACTTTGACAATCTGTGTATTTTTTTTTTTAAGATTTTATTTATTTATTTGAGAGAGAGAATGAGAGAGAGTGAGTACATGAGAGGGGGAGGGTCAGAGGGAGAAGCAGACTGCCCGCCGAGCAGGGAGCCCAATGCGGGACTCGATCCCAGGACTCCAGGATCATGACCTGAGCCGAAGGCAGTCGCCCAACCGACTGAACCACCCAGGCGCCCCAATCTGTGTATTTTTATTGGTGTGTCCTGTTGGAATTTTGATTGTAAAATCACATATTTTGTAGTCATATGTTTGTAATCATATTTTGATTGTAATATCATATATTAATTTCAAAAGAATTTATGTCATACGTTGAGTCTTTTATTTATAATAGTGTCTCTCTCATTTAAGACTTCTTCAGTTGCTCCAAATTTTAATATTTTCCAGAAACTTTTACATTTTTTTTCTATGTAATAGTTTTTTTAAATTAATGAATGAATTTATTTTTGAGAGGGAGAGAGAGAGCAGTGCGGAGCCTGATGCGGGGCTCAATTTCACAACTCTGAGATCATGATCTGAGCCAAAATCAAGAGTCAGACACTTTACCGATTGAACTGCCCAGGTGCCCCACTATGTAATAGTTTATTGGAATATTTTTAATACTATCTTTTTTCTTTTTTAAAGATTTTATTTGTTTTTTTTTTGAGAGAGAGAGAGCGAAAGAGCATGAGCAGGGGAGAGAGGAAGAAGCAGGCTCCCCACTGAGCAGGGAGCCTGACACGGGGCTCCATCCCAGGATGAGCTGAAGGCAGACGCTTAACCTACTGAGCCACCCAGGCACCCCAATACTATCTTTTTTCTATTAAATATTTTAATTGGTTATTAATGAACATAGAAATGCTATTGATTTTTGTATATTAATGTTTTCCCCTGTACTTTTTCTGAATTCCTGTTAGTTTTATTAGTTGATCTGAAGATTTTCTCACATATTCTGTGTGAATAGGCATATCATCTTCTAATAATAGCTTCATTTCTTTCTTTCCGATTTTTATTACTCTTCTTTCTTTTTCTTATCTTACTGCATTGTCTTAGCCTGCTTGTATAATGGTGAAGCAGTGATGGAAGATATCCTTCTTTATTACTGATCTGAATAGAATGCTTTTAAAGTTTCAAAAATAAGAATGATGCTTACTGTAGGTTTTTGATAGATTTGTTTTACCAAGCTGAAATAGTTCTTTTCTTATTTAGTCAAATGATGACTAATAGTCAATGCTTATTGAATGCTTTTTATGCATCTCTTGGTTATCATATTTTTTTCCTATAGTCTGTTAGTGTGATGTCTTATAGTAGTAAATTGTTTAGTACTAAATTGTCCTTGGACTTTGGGGGGAAACAGTACTTGGCAATGACTTTTTGATACATTGATGGATTTGGTTCGCTAATATTTTGTTTAGTATTTTTGTACCTATATATTAGTGAGACTGATACATCACCTTCTTTTTCTGTGCTTTTCTTATTTAAGTTCAGGTATCCAGGATATTAACATACAAAAAGAATTGAGTAGATTGCTTCTCTTTCTTTCTAGTCTCTGAAGCATAAAAATATGTATCATGATTATGTAGGGTTTATCTCAGAATGTAAAGAATGGGAGAGAGAAAGAAAACAAATATCTAATAACTTCCGCTCCAAATTAGCAGCATTTTGTGAGGTGGTGTGATGTCCCCTCCCACCATGGATCAGATATTCTGCCCACTTGCAGGGGTGGGGTAAGGGCATCCTTTGGCAATGCATGACAATACAAATTGAATAAGAAACAATAAAACAAGACATTATAATGGTCTCATGCATGTGACTTGTCACTCCCAAAGGTTTTAGGCATCTTGAGTCCAGAGGTCAGGCTCTTTTATTTCTCTGTATCTCTGAGCTGAGCACAGGGCTTAGTACATATGGAAAGAACTCACTTCCCATGAACTTTGTTGGGAGCCCTTGAGTTCAATTCATGCATGGATCCCAGATTTTGTTGCCTTAACCAGAGGCCTGCAACGACCTTCAGAAGGCCACTGAAGACCAAAGATCCTGAGTGATTTATTTAGAGCCTTGTGTACGGAGAGAAAGAGGCTGAGTACAGGCCCCCCACTGGCTGCCCAGGGAGTGCCCTTGTCCACATGCTGTCCTCTCTGCTCTGGTTACTTCCTCATAACCAGTGTTCCAAGCTCATTTTACTGCTCTCCCCTGTGGGTGCATACCTGGCACTGTGCCGTTCTTCCATGCACACCCTTTTTTTAAAAAAATTTATTTGACAGAGAAAGACAACGAGAGAGGGAACACAAACAGGGGGAGTGGGAGAGGGAGAAGCAGGCTCTCCACTGAGCAGGGAGCCCGATGCGGGGCTCGATCCCAGGACCCTGGATCATGACCTGAGCCGAAGGCAGACGCTTAACGACTGAGCCACCCAGGCGCCCCGTGCACACCCTTTTGACAGGGCAGTCTATGATCACTCAGCACAGCACATTCCTTCTCCAAACTTCGGGAACATTCTGGATTAGTTCTTCTGGCTTTCCCCACACAGGGGCAAGAGTATGGAACTGGCTGTGCATGTGTAAGGTGCAGAGGAGCAGGGAACACAGTTCATGAAATACTTAGTACTCAAATTGTTGCATCTCTGTCTTTGTCGTGGTGAAAGCCCTGTGGTGATGGGCAGGGTGTAAGCAGCAGGCATGATCCAAAGCTGGTGATATGCCCATTTTGTTAGGCTCTGTGTGATGAAGAAGGACTGGGATGGGCAGGAATGCAGGTGTGCAGGACATGCGCTTGCCTGAGGGACAGGTTGGGTCACACAGGAGGATCTCCTGCTTCTCGTGTCCACAGAGTAGGGGCCACCACACAGTCAACTCAGGTGTCTTGGCTTCATGCCTTTCCCTGGACTCTTAAGGACTCATAGAGGACAAGGACTGCAGAGTAGCAGACCGCCTCAGCAGTTCCAGCCTTTACCAAAGGTCTTTCACTCCTTCACGGCATTGGATCAGTTTCCTCTTGTTTCATCCACGTTATTTCACTCTGATTTTATTTAAAGAATTAATAGCACTTTAGCTGGGTAATGGGTCCATGCGCATTAACTATTATTCTTCTTTAAACTTACATACATATGCTGTATACTCCTTCATACTAATGATACGCATAACAGTTAAAGAAAAAAAAGTTTCCCAACCCCACTGACATAGTAACAGTTTTATTCCTGTCTATCTGTCAATCAATCTGTCTATCTATCTAGATAATGATGATAAGCACCGGAGCCCAATTTGATGCTGCCTCCCAGGGGCTGTTGAGAATTAACACTCTACAGAGATATTTTTACAGAATGAGCCTTCATGCCTGCCTATTTCTAAAGGACTTAAGGTAGCTTAGAAAACAATGACCTTGGGATGTGGAGTTGTTCAGAGGTAGAGAAATCTTTTTAGGGATTTATAGTGTCCCAGCTACTGGGGGTGTGACTGCTCAAGTGCAGCCTTCTTTGAGAAGGCTCTTTGATGTTCATACTGTTGGTGGTCATGAGCATGCAAAAGAGAATCTCTGTGTTATAAAGAGATTTCGAAGATCTGGCCAATTATTTGATCCAACCAATTTCCGGGGTCATTACAATTCTTGTATATTTCATGATAATGGACTTTCATTTAAATAGTTGTTCTTTTTGCCTGATGATAAATCTGTCTCTAACCTTTGTTCATTAGGGATGGAGCCTATAGAGGTGCCTCTTGAGGAAAACGGTGAACAGGCTCAGATTTGCCAAAGCAAGGTCTGTGCGGACAGGTGAGACTGCAGCAGGTGAAAATCTCAGGTCCGTCTGCAGGTGGCACAGAGGGGGAAGAGAGCAATGCCCTGTAGATGGGTCCTCCGCTGCACCCCCCATCTAGTCAGCTGCTCTTTACCCCTCATGAACTCCACTCTGGTCACACTGCCCCTCGCTGTTCTTCAAACCTACCAAACATGCTCCTTCCTCAGGATGCCAGCATAGAGAGAAATGTAGCCATTTAGGGATACCTCCTGTTTTTTTATGAGGCTCATTCCTGGTTCTACATTTCATTTAGCTGCATTTGAGAGAAATGCTATTTTCTGGCTCATAAAGAGGTAGTTAGGCATCTTCTGCTCAGAACCATAAGTGCTCCGATTGATGAGAATGGACTTCCATTCAGTCTCTCAAAGCATTGGAGAGAAAGTGCAACTAAATGAGGTTTCATTCTACACTTCCCTTTCCAGACACAGATAGGCAGTTATTTGATCCAGTAAAAATTAAGGATATGACAGGTTTTCCATTCTATCTTGTAATCCCAATATAGGTTATTAGCAATTTTGCATTATAAATTCTGGTGATATGTAGATTTTAGAACAATTTTTAAAAAATTTAAATGCTTTAAATTATATTTAAAAAGTCTCTAAGATTGCAGAGTTAAAAAAGAGCTGGATCAATAAATGTACTTCTATTGGTAACTTGAAGGCATAGCGTTCTTTTCACAAACCAAACCCATTATTCCATGTGGTCTGGCCATGAGGGAAAATATTAGTCAGGCCCATAGTAAAAATCCTGAACATAAGTCTGGGTTCAAGGGCTTCTTAAAGCAAAGTGCTGCTCTGGAAGCTCTCACATTCTAAGCTCTGTGGTATTAGGGGCAAAAAATAATATAAACAAGGATTTTCAAGATGAACTTCCAAAGCTTTCTATCTGATCCGAAAGCTTTGCACAAGCCCCAGCCCTCAGGTCTCCCCTGCATTGGCCATCTCCCCGCAGCTTCCTGAGCACGTTTTCACTGTAGGCTTCTCTCCCTGGGACGCAATATCATATTACATTATATTTATTGCATTGTATTATTTTGCAATCTAACTTTTTTGCTATTTAGATTATTATTTAATGGAATACTAAATAACATTCATTCCCCTCCTTTTTTTCTCTCCCTCAGGGTCAATACTTATAGTTGTGGAGAAAAAATTTCGAGCTGGTTGTCAAGGTTTTTTGGCCGTCCATGTCAACTGATAAAACAAAGTTCAGACTTTCAAAGAAGTGCAAAGAGACGGGGCAAAGGTATCACATTTGGGGTTGGTTCTTAGGGGACAGGAACTTGGGTTTACCCTGGCATACACCCAAATCAGCCCATCGAATGGATTTACAGGGCGACTTGCTCATGCGCAGAAAGCAGGGTGGTCTGCAGGACCCACGTGTGGTCTCCAGAATGACGCCGAGGAGGTGGAGGTGGGCTTCCAGCCAGTCGCCCCGCCTCGGACAAGCACTCGGTCTCAGTCCTCCCTGTTTCAGAGCACAGTTTCACTGGGTTACATAAAAACAGCAGTAACTTGCCATGTCCTCAGATTGTATGCGGGAACAAGACAACCCAGGTTCCAGTCTCGGCTCTGCCACATGGCTGTGGGAGCTTGGCAGACCTTGAGCCTCGTGGTGCCTCGGCTGGTGTAGACCTCAACTCCTTCGACTTGTAAAAGTGCTCAGAGTTTTTCCTGCCAGAGCTATTGTTAGCTGAAGTGAGACAGCAGAGAAGAAAGTACCTGAAAGTTAGCAGTACCACATGGGAAGAAGAGATCAGTTTCGGGTGTCTGCTCACGCGTCACCCTCTCAGGGAAGCCTTGCTTGACGGCTCTCCTTAGAAGCAGAACCTCTTCAGTTCAGTCCCTGTTTTATTCTTCTGTGTGGTACTTTTCCCATCTGAGAGGCCATGCATTTTACTCAGTTATTCTGTTTATGGGATTGTGATGGATTGTAAGCTCTGAGGGGACAGGGATTTTTGTATGCTTTGTTCAGTGCTGCATCCCCCGTGCTCAGAACAGCACTGGGCACATAATAGTTGCTCAATAAATACTAGATGAATGAATGGATGAATGCGTCATTGCCACATTGTTGGTCTGTGTAGGGATGACCTAGCTTAGGGACTAGCTCCCAGAGAGACTGGCTTAGAAATCCGAGAGTAGGGCGCCTGGGTAGGTCAGTTGTTAAGTGTCTGCCTTCAGCTCAGGTTATGATCCCAGGGTGCTGGGATCGAGCCCCGCATCGGGCTCCCTGCTCAGCGGGAAGCCTGCTTCTCCCTCTCCCACTCCCCCTGCTTGTGTTCCCTCTCTCGCTGTGTCTCTCTCTGTCAGATAAATGAATAAAATCTTTAAAAAAAAAAAAAAAGAAATCTGAGAGTAGCATTTTGACAGTATGGGGACCAGTGACTGGATCAAGGGATCACCTGCACGGGTGAACCTATGAATCCCTGAAAACGTATGGTAGAGAGAGGATTCAAAGGATGTAATGATCTACTTGCACTTTTAGAAGTGTTGGCAGTTGGTCATGTCAGAATCTGTTCAATAATTTGAGTTGCTATGTGATGGAGAAGGGGAATAAATATGTGCTCAGCTAATTGAGGAGATGAACTGGTGGAGTTTGGGCACGGGTGAGCTTAGAGACATGATGAAAGGGGAGAGAGAAATGGGCAATTCTATGAGTAGGGACATGCAAGGAGTGGGGCTCCGCAAGACCTGGGCCACCATAGAAATGAGCTGATAGGATTAGCTCTGATCATTCCTAGCGCCTCCCGTCTACCTGGGGCTCAGCTGGGTCTTCAGGAGGCTGGCTCAGATTTTGAAGCAATGGTTGTGGTCCTTCGAGATCTAAGTTTAGAGACAATGGCTTATCAGTAGGCACTGACACCAACATAAAGGTCACAATAAAGGGCAAAGGGCATGAGTGTGGGGGCGGCATCCTCTACACCTGGAGTGAGTCACGGAGGGCTTCAGGGAGGAGGTAATTTTAGAGCTGCATCTTAATGTAAGATAGGAGCTTTCTAGGCAGAGAGAGGCAGGAAGGTTAGTCGGGAGCAGAATGGCAGGGCTTGGCATTTCATGGGCCCAGAGCAGGGCTTAGGAAGGGTTGAATGTGGGTAGGGGCGCCCTGGGGCAGAGCTGGGGAGAAGAGATGAATGTTTGGCTGAAGAGGCAGTGAGTACCATCTTTTGGTTGGGGGCACTCACTGAAGAACTCTAAGCTGAGGAGTTTTGTGCTGCCACATGTGTTAGAAAGACACTCTTGGTGCGGTGTGGAGGCTGCATCACAGAGGGAGGTGGGGGGTACAGGGCAGGAGGCGAGGCTGGAGGTGGCAGCGGCTGTCCTAGTGGGAGATGGGGACCTGGGTGAGGCAAAGGGAGGTGCCGGGGGAAGTCTGTCCCCTGCATGATACAGTGCCGGGGAGTGTCAGCTTGAGAATATTAAACCGCACAGATGCCATTTATGGTAGAGAGGTCTCTGATGGGCTAGGCCACTGGTCTTTGAACATTTTTAGGTTGGTACACCCGAGAGGAGCTTTTTTAGAGTTACACTACCTCCTTGTACATTTTTAGGTTGTCATCTAAAGTGGCCAGTGGAATCTCAATATTTAGTGGTTTGATTCTCAAGGGTATTCATTAAAATATATATTATATATATATATATATGTATGGGCAAACTGCCTTTTAATCGTCAGAAATTTTATTTCTTTCTTTTTCCTCTTCAACTTATATTTCCATTCCACTTCCTTGACAGCATTTTATTTTAGTGTTATATATTTCATGCTTGAAAATCTTTCCTTGGCGCACCTGGGTGGCTTAGATGGTTAAGCGTCTGCCTTCGGCTCAGGTCATGATCTCAGGGTCCTGGGATCGAGCCCCTCATTGGGCTCCCTGCTGGGCGGGAAGTCTGCTTCTCCCTCTCCCACTCCCACCACCTGTGCGCTCTTGCTCTCTCTGTTAAATAAATAAATAAAATCTTAAAAAAAAAAATCTTTCCTTGATCACTCTATCATTGTTATCTGAAACTACAATTATATATAAATTGAAATGTATACACATTTTTCAAGTTTACTGTGATCATAAGAGTCTACGTGTTAGGAGATATTTTCTAGGTTGAGTCTTTAATAGTACACAGTTTATCAAAGCAACACAGGTATTATAAATTTTGAAAAATAGTTAATAAACATAAAGGGAAAACATTGTTGAAAATGAATCTCTTAATGAGATGCCTGGGCGATCCTCCCCCCCCACCCCACCATTCATTCCCGTGTCCCTGAATGACTGTCACCTGTGGCCGGAAAAGCTGGTGCTCAGCACTGATTCTTCTCTGGAAAACCTTATTTAAGTCAGATAAAAAGCTGGGGATGAAAGGAATTTGGTGAACGCACTGTCATCAAACCTTCCTTCTGAGGCACATGATTAAAGCACAGGGATCTCACATTATGGTGACTCGAATCATCTGTCTCTTGGCCACTTAATTAGGTTGGGCAGTTCTGTGTAGAGTGAGGAATGGGAACCCATCTGACCTGCAGGAGGCTCATTCACTCACTCTGCTTTAGAGGCTTTTATTTTTTCAGCACAGACCCCAGGGCTTTGAATGGAGCTTTTGTTTTCCACCCCGGAGAGGTTTAGTCCCCAGTGGCAATGCGCCTTAGGAGAGGTGAGTGAGCCTTTCTCTGTGAAGTTCCAGAAGGGCCTTTGTGGAGGGGGCTGGGATTCCAGCTCCCTTCCCTGACGCAGCCATTTTAGCAAAGAGGACCTATGGAAGTAGAGGGTCTGGAAAGCAATTCTCTCTCTCTCTTTTTTTCATTCTTTTATTTATTTATTTATTGGCATAAAATTTCTTATTTTATTACCTTTCTTTTTTTAAATTTAATTTAATTTTATTATGTTATGTTAGTCACCATACAATACATCATTAGTTTTTGATGTAGTGATCCACGATTCATTGCGTATAACACCCAGTGCTCCATGCAGTACGTGCCCTCCTTAATACCCATCACCAGGCTAACCCATCCCCCCACTCCCTCCCCTCTAAAACCCTCAGTTTGTTTCTCGGAGTCCATAGTCTCTCATGGTTCATCTCCCCCTCCGACTCCCCCCCCTTCATTTTTCCCTTCCTTCTCCTAATGTCCTTTGTGCTATTCCTTATGTTCCACAAATAAGTGAAACCATATGATAATTGACTTTCTCTGCTTGACTTACTTCACTTAGCATAATCTCCTCCAGTCCCATCCATGTCGATGTAAAAGTTTCTCTTAAAAGTATCCATTCTTGTGTACTCCGGGTTCCACGAACTTGGTTTGGAGACCGCTAACTTGGCCTTGGCCCAGCAGACCTTTTTTCTCAACATCTCGTTGAAGACAGTGACGGGAGCCAACAAATGGTTGACCGAAGCTGCTAGCGGTTCTGGGCACACTTGATACTTTCTTTTATGAGTTTTTAATTTGTTTTCCTTCCAGTAGTTTTAAGACTTGTATTCTTTCTTTTTTAAAGATTTATTTATTTGAGAGAGCGAGTGAGTGCCTGGGCTGGGGGGAGGGGCGGAGGGCGAAAGAGAATCTCAAGCTGACTCCGTGCTGAGAGCCTGCTGCGGGGCTCCATCTCACGACCCTAGGCCCCTCTTTCGACTGTTTTGGGGAAGTCCCCCAACTCCACCTCCCTCCCATCTTTCCTCCAAATGTTGTCTCCAGGTCTTTTTTGCTGGACTAATTTCACTTCACCATTTTATTATTTTTTTTTTTCCAGATTATTAACAGAGTATTCTAGGAGCTCTTTTTCTTTCTGTGTCTGAGAGATTTGGTCCATGCTTACAACATTTTTATTATTTCCAGGGCACCATTTTTCCCTTGTAGAAATAGTCTCTTCTTTTTAAAAATGCAAGCTAATGGAAGCATGATTCATTTGCATTCTGAGAAAGCAACTCTTCTTTTTAAATTTATTTAAACTTTTTATTGAAGTGTAAGTGACCTATAACATTATATTAGTTTCAGATGTACAACATAATGACTTGATATTTGTATATATTGAGAATCACCACAATAAGTCTGGTTAACATCTGTTACTGTATATAGTTACACATTTTTTTCTTGTTATGAGAACTTTTAAGATTTACTCTCTTAGCAACTTTCAAATATGCAGTATAGTGTTATTAACTACAGTCACCATGGTATACATTATATCCCTATGATGTATTTATTTTATAACTAGAAGCTTATATGTTTTGACTCTCTTAACCCATCTTGCCTACCCCCACTCCCTGCCTGTTAACAACCAATCTGTTCTCTGTATCTATGAGCTTGTTTTTTGTTTTGTTTTTTGTTTGTTTCAGATTCCACATACAAGTGAGCTCCTGTGGCATCTCTGTCTGACTTATTTCATTTAGCATAATGCCCTCAGCGTCCATCCATGTTGTCACAAATGGCAAGATTTCATTTATTTTATTTATTCATTCATTTTAGAGAGAGACAGAGAGAGTGCATGCAGGGGCGGGAGCAGAGGGGGAGGGAGAGAATCTCTAGCAGAGAGATGCAGGGCTCCATCTCACGACACTGAGATCATGACCTGAGCCAAAACCAAGAGTCAGACACTTAACCAACTGTGCCACCCAAGCGCCCCAAGATTTCATTCTTTTTCATGGCTGAATGTATACATATATACATGTATATGTGTTTGTCCCATCTTCTTTGTCCATTCATCCACTGATGGATACTTAGATTGTTTAAAATACTCCATCACTTTTAGATCAGTCTGGGGGTCCAACAGCCACCCTTTCTCTGGTGAATGAAGCACAGTATTTGCTGATAAACAGATCCAGTGTTTTGGAGCTCCAGCAGCAATTAAGTGCCAGGTAAGATCCTTTGCCTTGGGAATAGCAGACAGGTGTAACCACGTGACTCTGGCAGTGAGCCACGGAGTCCATGGAGTGGACTGGGGAGTCATGGAGTCCAGATGAGAGACCGAGGCTCTGGGAAGTTCCAAAGCCCTTAGGTCCAGTTCCCACGTCTCTCTTGATGCCTTCATGATGCTTAGTCAACCCCAAGTCTCATTTTTTAATCATTCTATTTTTAACATTTGCTTTAATTGAATTGAACTTGACCCAATTTTGTTGCCCACCCTTCCACCACCCCCTGTCCCCTAGGAGCCTTGCCCTACTTCCACAGTCAAGTTTGAGTGAAAAGAAGAGTGGTTACGAAGGCTTTTGGAGTTGTAGCTACAGATAGTATTTGTTTGTATCATCAGACAGAACCGGCACCGCTGCCTGCCTCCTCCCATCCAGTGTTTTCTAAGGGCCCTGACATATTAGCGGGTCAGCTTTAGAAAGGACTCGCTCAACCCCCGTCATTGTTCTTTAGAGGAAGTTGAAGTACCAAGGTAATCAGACCATTAGGGCAAAAAAAGTCACCCCGTTTTTACATGAGAGCTGGGACCGGCTACTCATCCCTAGTCCACAGACCAAGAGGGGGGCGCACGCGCCTGTCACCATGAGCCCGGGATCCTATGACTTTCACATGCCATGTGGTCCTGGTTATGAGTATGTGTGCATACTCCCAAACATCTACAAATATAGCTTAATAAAAATGACAAAGATGGACTGTTTGTAGTAACTCCTGTTTATAGTCATTGGCAAAACCACGCAACAGAGTTCCCTGGCCATGGCCCAGCTCGCCCTCCTTGGGACATAAGTTTGATGCAGCTGCAGGGTCCCTGGGTGTTCACTGAGCTGTCCAGGCGCCGTGACACTCCTCCTCCGGTCCCCAGAGCCCTGGAGAGAGTAGGGCAGAGGTCGTCTGGGATTCGTGGTGTGCAAAACTAGGAGGTGGAGACATGCTTGCTGCAGTCCTGGTTCCTACCAGGAGGGGACCATATTTCCTACCAGCTGGTTGAATGCAGGGCTGGGGAGCAGGGAGCAGGTGGGACAGGTAAGAGGACCAGCCTGGGCCTAGTACCCGGAAGGGTCGCTGGGGGCTCTGGTTGGTGTGTCTCTGTTCTACTTTCAAATTTGATGGACTCAATAATGCATATGCTGACCACGATAGCTTTTGAACATACAATTTTTCTTTTTACACAGCACAAAAGAAGGGTTTGTAACCTGGAAGGTAATCCGGAATCAAAGGATTTTAGGACTGGGAAGTGCCAGCCCTCGCATTTCAGATGAGGAAATTGTCATTCTCGTCGGTCAGGGGAGTTGCACATAGTGGCAAAGCTAGGCATGGTTCTCCCTGCTCCTGGCTTTTCACACACCATTCCCTGCTTGGAAGGGGCTGGGGATATAGCCTTAGCCTCCACCAGAGCCTACAGGTCTATTTCCAGGGAAAATTCCAATCATACTTAAGAATCTCCCCCCGCCAACTTAAAAATGTTTTCTTGCTGAAGCACAACAAAGCACAAAAGTCCTAAGTCCATAGCTCAGTGAATTTTTACAGATGTGTGTGCCCACGTAACCACCCCCTAGATCAAGTAGAGAACATTTCTAGTAAACCAGAAACCTTCCCCTCTTAGTCAGCCCTACTGAACGGTCACCACTATCCTGGCTTCGTTCACATACATAGTTTCACCTGTTCTTGAACCCTGTATAATGGGATCATCCAGTGGGTTCTTTTAAGTTTTCAGACGCTTTATTTCAGTGCTTTTTCCCTTGGGGACGGGGGTGGATGGAGGTGCAGAGAGTCATTTTATAAGGCCTCATGGCAGTAAACAAAAATCGTAAACAAGAATTATAAAAATGGTATATGTTAGTTAAAACTGCAAACAGGTTGGAAGTTAGGAAGCAAATTTGTTTTTACTGAGATATAAATGACATAAAATATTAGTTTCAGATGTACAATATAATGATTCAATATTTATATACATTGAGAAATGATCACCACGATAAGTTTGGTTAACATCTGTCGCCATACATAGTTAACAATTACTTTTCTTGTGATGAGAGCTTTTAAGATTTTCTCTTAGCAACTTTCAAATATGCAGTACAGTGTTAATAACCACAGCCATTGTGCTGTACCTTACATCCCCGTGACGTATGTTTTTTTTAACTGGAAGCTTGTACCTTTCGACTCCCTTCGCCCATTTTGCCTGCTCCGACCCCCACCTCTGGTAATCATCAGTCTGTCCTCTGTGGGAAATAAATACTAAAATCTCCCATATGTACTTACTGGTGCTTTATGATGTCCTAATATCCAAAAAGAGTATGAGCTCTTGAAACATTTTAGGTCCTTGGTAAGTAAGCCTGTTGATGCTCCTTAAATGCCTCATCTGGACTCACCTTGTAGAACTGGTATTTTTGTAGAAGTTGGTTCACTTGACCCCCATTCACTTGGTTTCCAGAGTCATTCATCTCCAGCTAAGATCTACTCACCCTTTGCTCCGCTTCTAGGAGGTGGGACTATCTCCCAGGGGACACCATCGAGGTCTGTTTAACAGCTGGGTGTCTGCTGGCCTTCCACTCGTGGTAGAAGCTTGTTCTAATCATCTAGGACTCTGACCAGAGGACAGGTGGTGAAGTCAGGCATCGAGTGCTAGAAATGTTGAACAATTACAACTGTGCCATTATCCACCCCTCCCCACTTCCCCCCTTTTTGGTATGTCTTAAGCAGTGATGAGCATGGAAAGGAAGAATCATTCCCAATGAAAGACCTCATCTCACGGTTCCGTGCCAATATTATTACCAGTGGAACAAGGGCTTTTGAAGAAGAGAAGTGGGATGGGATTTCAATTGGTTCCTTGCATTTCCAGGTGAGTTGCGGGAAGTTCAGTTCCTTCCTCAAGGGTTGCAAATGGAAATTGGCCTCTATTTGAGGCCAGGAGGGTGGCAGGCGGGAATCCCTCTCTGTCTTTGACTCTGCCTCGCAAAACCTCAGCAGGAGGGTTTGTGACATCTGCAGTCTCGGACTCCCTCTGGAAGGACCCATCGCTTATTCGCCACGAGCAGTCCGTTTCCCACTGGGCGGTGCTCGCGGGCTTAGTGCACCTCCACCTCATCATTATGTTTAGGCTTAAACTCTGTTTCCTTAGAATACTGTGTCTGTGAGAACTTCATCCTGTTGGAACCCAGTGGACTTTCCTGGTGCTTGTGGAGGAGGACCCAGACGCCTAGCGGTCCCTCGGTGCCCATGGCCACTCCACCTTCTTCCCTCGCTCTGCCTTCTGGCCTCACTGGCCCTTGTAGAGGAGCTTGTCATCAGAAGCAAAGCCCGGGCTGCCCTCTCTCCCCAGCCTCTGAGCTCCCCAAATCATGTGGTAGGCCTGAACGATGGGAGGAAGTCTTAGGCTAAAACCTGCATTCTTCATTGGAGCCCATCAGGGCCCCTGAGCCCTGAGTCCTCTGACCGCCTCTGGGAGCTCACCAGCCCTCCCCCTGCCTGCCATCCCACCCTTCTCTCCATCCCCTAAACATGCCAAGCTTCCTGTCTCAGCGCCTCTGCCCCTGCTGTCCCTTCTGCCTGGCATGCTCTTCCTGCGGCCACTGCAGGGCCTCCACTCAGATGTCACCTCCTTGGAAAGGTCCGACTCTGCAGAGCACCTGCTTATTCCTTCAGAGCACACAAGGGTGGGGCCCAAGTGTGTTTTGTTCCCTGCTGTCCCTCTAGGGTCCAGAACAGTCCTGGTCCAGAGTCAGTGCTCAGTAACTGTTGAGAGAATGAATAGACAGGAAAGATAAGGAATAGCTAGGAATGGAAGGATGGGTCATCTGTACAGAATGTGCCCAGTTCTTTAGTGGGGGATGAAACGATTTTTTTTTTAAAGATTTTATTTATTTATTTGACAGAGAGACAGCAAGAGAGGGAACATAAGCAGGGGGAGTGGGGGGAGGGAAAATCAGGCTTCCCGTGGAGCAGGGAGCCCGATGTGGGGCTCGATCCCAGGATCCTGGGATCATGACCTGAGCTGAAGGCAGACGCTTAACGACTGAGCCACCCAGGCGTCCCGGGATGAAACGATTTTGATAGTAGTGTTATTAATCGATGGTATAACTGACTATAATGGGCTTCCTTGTGTCCCAGCTCTGCACTTGGAAGGAGCATCACTGTAATATCCAGAAAAGCAGTCAACAAGAATTGAAATCTTTATTGAAGAATGTCACAAGTTTGAGCTTTTGGAGGGCAGTTAAATTGCATGGCACAAAAAAGTCCTAAAGGATTTCTTTTATCCATTTAACTCCCCAAACTTCCTCTTATCCGGACAGCTGCTTCCCCTTGAAGAAAGCAATCTCTTCTCTCTGTGACATTCACTCCCACAGACCTCTCTCTGGCACCAGCCTTCCCGCCGCCCTCCTCATCCCTGCCTCCTCACCTCTTCTTCTCCTCCTTATTTCCTGTTGCTCTGTCCCTGCCATGTCTTTAAAACACTTGCTCTGATGTATCCTGCCTGATACCTAACAGACATTGATCTATGTTGTTTGATAAGCGCAGAGAAGGAGGGAGAAATAAAGGGAGAAAAGAGGAAAGCGAAAGAACTTGAACTAGCTTGTTGTCACAGTCAGAACGAGTCCTGGCAACATTAGCACCTGCGGCTCTTCAGGGACCCGGGGGCATAAATACAGGAAAGAGTCTCTGAGAAACTTTTCTGAGATGCTTTGCTTTCTTTAGGTCACTGTTCTTAATAAACATTCACTAATAAAAGTGAAAATATGCCTTCCCTTTGGCCCAATACTTTCACTGGTAGAAATCTATTCCGTAAAATACAGTCATACAAGCGTGCAGAGCTATATTACAGACTTAACTTATTGGGACGCCTGGAAGGTTCAGTCGGTTCAACGTCTGCCTTCGGCCCAGGTCATGGTCCCGGGGTCCTGGGATCGAGCCCTGTGTCGGGCTCTCTGCTCAGCGGTGTCTGCTTCTCTTTCTCCCTCTGTCCCTCTCCCACCTCTAGTGCTCTCTCTCTCAAGTAAATAAAAATCTTTTTTAAAAAAAAACTTACTGTAGGGCTTTTATAAATATGAAAACTTGGAGGACATCCTACATATCCACAAAAGGGAGATTGGTTCAATAAATTATGTTATATTCATACAGTGTAGTCCTGTGCAGGCACTAAAAAGTATAAACTGTAGTTAGTACTGTGCCTTTCAAAAACGAACTGCTTAAAAGACGTTTGCTGATGCCAGTACTCAGGCTGAGGCTGTTTGCAATGCAAAGAGATTTAGCACATCTCTTTTGGAAAGTGATTTTTTCACTGGGGATCATCAAGTCATAAAAACTTTGACACCTGTTGCCTTTAGAATCTCATTTACAGAGATCGACGCTAAAAAATGTTAAATGGCAAAGAGGGTTATGTGGATTAAGACCTTTATTACAAAATCATTGATAACAGCAAAGAATTAGAAACTGTTTACATGGCTTTGTAGAACAGGGAAGAACATCAGCCCCCAGGAATGCCAGGCCATCGTGAACACTGCAAAGCCCAAGGATGGGGTAGTCTCTGAGTACGGACGTGGAAGGGTGTCCAATATGTATTGTGGAGTAATGCCCACCGGGAGGAAGCACAGCGGCCTCCGAGAACCCAGGGAGTGTCCTGCACGGGCGCATGGCTCATCGTGTCCTGCTGTGAGCTTCAGTCCTGAGCCTCCTACAGCCTCTTAGCCCCGCTTGCCTCTGAAGACGGAGAGGGAGGCACCTGCTGAGCGCTTTCTCTCTTAATTCTTTTTTCTTTTTAAGATTTTTTTTATTTATTTGAAAGAGAGAGCACAAGCAGGGGGAGCAGCAGAGGGAGAGGGAGAAGCAGGCTCCCCGCTGAGCAAGGAACCCGATGCGGGGCTTGATCCCAGGACCCTGAGATCATGACCTGAGCCACCCAGGCGCCCCTCTTTTAAGTCTTAAAGCTTCTGTACCATTTGAGTTATTTTTTAAAGAACACGTATGATTGTAAACAATTTTTAAAAATCCCAATGAATAAGAGTACTAGAAAAAAAAGCTTAAAAATGACAATGTTTTAAGAAAATTGATTTCTTTGTCTTGGTGTTTGAAAAAAGTGCCTGGAAAATATCTTTCTTTCTGCCAGCTTGAGAAACTGTTTTAAGAGAGTCTTTTCACCAAAATGACAGGATTTTTACTTGAAGTGTTATCTGTTGGATGGCAGCTGGGGCTGGTGGGACATCCCTTCTGTGGGACATCTCTTCTGAGGGTCATGGCCCTTCAGGCTCAGAGGGAGCCCGGCCTGGGAATCATAATGTTCTAGGCAGAGAAGGTAGAATGTTCTGTACTTGATCCTGGAGGGCTTAGTGTTCTGATCTTGTGGAAGTCTTCTTCCATCTGGGGGATTCTCGTGTATAATCATGATAGCTTCCGCTTTTGAGCATGACTCAGTGCCAGGTCTGGGCTTTGCATCCTAGAAATAGTATCTGGAATCCTCACCCAATCAAGCTAAGGGGCTGGATGACGAAATGAGGCTTCGAGAGGTGGTAGTGTTCCTGGGATCGAGGCCAGTGCTGAGCAGAGCCCCATACAGCACCCTCCAGCTGCTTCTGGAGGCCTGCGCAACTTGACTTTGGTACCACAGTGAGGTTATATTTCCCCTTTAGTGGCCGCCAGCCAGAAGGAGAGTGATACGATGTGTCAAGACACATCCACATTTAGTTGTTCCTGGTTTCAGTGCATACTTTGTGTTTGCCCATGAGTGAGCAGAGGAGCACCTGTGCCCTTTTTATATGTGCAAAAAAAGAAGCATCTTGTCACTGCTGAGTGCATACTTTCTTTTTTTGTGTTAACATTTATGGGAGATTTTCTCGCTATAAAGCAATTCACGCTCATGGCAGGCCAACCAGAATAGAAGTTCTACCATATGGTATGACCCCTCTTAAGATGCTGTGTATACATATATACATACATAAGAATACACATGTAATTTTGTTTCCTGCTTATTTCAATTATAAACATAAATATTACCCCTTTTATTTAAAGCCCTTTATAGATTAATTTTAATACCTGCATGATATATAAATGGAGTGTGGCCATTCTTCTCTACTGTTTCATGTTTATGATACTCCCAGATTTCCCCCACTACAAATAATGTGAGAAAGATCCTTGTACATGAATCTGTGTTTGTACTTGTGGTTCTTCTCTTCTCTTCCCTTCCCTTCCCTTCCCTTCTCTAAGATTTATTTAGGGGCACCTTAGTAGCTCAGTCGGTTAAGTGTCTGCATTTGGCTTGGGTCATGGTCCCAGGGTCCTGGGATCGAGCCCCACGTCGGGCTCCCTGCTTGGCAGGGAAGTCTGCTTCTCCCTCTCCATCTGCCTCTCACTCTTCTCATGCTCTCTCTCGCTCTCTCTCTCTCAAATAAATAAATTTATTTATTTGAGAGAGAGCACACGCATGAGCAGGAGGGGCAGAGGGAGAGGGAGACAGTTTCAAGCAGACTCGGAGCTGAGCATGGAGCCCCACATGGGGCTCGATCTCACAACCCTGAGATCACAATCTGAGCTGAAACCAAGAGTCGGATGCTTAACTCACTGCACCACCCAGGTGCCCCAGTTGTGGTACTTTTCTCAGGTGAAATTCCTAGTAGTGAAGTTTCTGGGTCAAAGGACATGGACACAGTAAGTTTCTTACCGATGATGACGCAGTGCTGAGGCCATGGGTGTTTATTTTCTCCCAGTTTACCCACCAATCAGTTCATTCTTTTCTTCCTGGGAGGATCCAGGAAGAAACCCGAGATAACCATCTGAGATCCACAACCACTCTTTTCTTTCTCTACAAAGCCCTGAAACAGCAGTCTTTCAGCTGATGAGCAAATATGGATGATTCCCCAGGACCGTGTGAGGAGGTGCCACGTTCTGGCTCCTTGAAGTTAGAGTACTGAGCATCCTGTGTTAGTGGGGTTGGGGACCGCCTCTTACAACCAATCCTCCCGGACCCAGCTTCCTCCCTGCCCAGAGGCAGGGTCCGGTCACGTTCATGACGACGCTGTCTTTTCCTTTCTCACCTGCCAGGTTTCAGGGCCTTGTCACAGATGCCAGATGATTTGCATTGACCAGCAAACCGGGCAGCGAAACCAAAATGTTTTCCAAAAGCTTTCTGAGAGTCGCGAGAGAAAGGTAAGCATGATTGCAAACTATGACACCACTTTTAAGATCCTGGCTCATTATCCAGACCAGAACTGTAGTTCTGAGTAATAGTGCTGAGTACGTTTTAGAAGTAGGGAGACATTCTACGGCTGAGGGGCTACCATTAAGGTTCTGACCTCATCCACGGAGCCATCTTATTTTTCCTTTCCCTCCATTTCCTTACTTTTTGGGGTCTTATTATATGTATTTTTGGTACTCTCAAATTTCAGTGAAGAGATAAGAGGTATAAATAAGAAATGAGTAAATAAGCAAAGTAAATTTATTGTCTTGAACATTATTTTCTTCACCACGGATGTCTCATGAGAGTAAAATGTCCCCTGGTGAGTAGAGTAGCTGCATAGACAGATTCAGTAAATTTCATTCTCAGAAGCCTGTAAGTCATCTTCTTGAGGGTTCATATGACCAAATGTTGTTTTTGTGGATACCAGATGATGGAAACTGAACTTCTAACAGACTGATTCTTTAGGAGGATCTATGTCCAGGCTAGTACTTTCTGGGTTTTTTTGCCAAGAATTCTAGGAAGCCAGGTAAGCAGCCAGGCTGCATGGAGCATTTCTTGAACATTAACTGAAATAACGTAAATATCTAATCTCTCTCTAATAAATTAGAAGGCTAACTCATGGTAAAATGTTCTGCATCGTTTTCCGTGTCTCTCCAAAACCGGGGTTTGTTTCACGATATGGAATTGCCACAGTCTCCCTACAGATACGGGATGGATATGGTCTGCACGCAAGTGTTTGACCGACATGTCTGTCTGCTCAGCGGAGGCACTGGGGGGTGTGGGGACCTTGAGCCTGCACCATGCAGGGTGCCCAGGGAGGGGATGGGTGGGCACAAATACTATGGGGCATGCAAGGAAATAGTACTTCTTTTTTTTTTTTTTAAAGATTTTATTTATTTATTTGACAGAGAGAGACACAGCGAGAGAGGGAACACGAGCAGGGGGAGTGGGAGGGGGAGAAGCAGGCTTCCCGCTGAGCAGGGAGCCCGATGCGGGGCTCGATCCCAGGACCCTGGGATCATGACCTGAGCTGAAGGCAGACGCTTAATGACTGAGCCACCCAGGCGCCCCGGAAATAGTACTTCTTAGAATCACTGTAATTCTCATGTGCACACATTTTTTTTAAAAATAATTTTTGGAATAATTTTAGACTTACAGATAAATTGCAAAGAGAGTACAGAGAGTTCCTGTGTATGCTTCACCCACATGTGCACAAGTCTTCAGGAATTAATTTGGCCTCCGCCCCTGGCCTGGGGCCTGGAACACGGGGGCGTCCACTGATATTATCACAGCAGTGGCCAGGTCTGGGAGCACATCGCATGCTCCCAAAGGGTTCTTACTGGCTCACTTGCATTGATGGCAAACATTGAGTAGACTCACACAACCCTGTTTTGGACTTTCCATCTTTATTCTAGAGAGTTTGGAGAACGTGACCTACACCACATTAAAAAAAAAAAATCACATCAAAGAAATGCAGGATTTTGCTATTATTTTCACAAAATAGTTTTACATCAGAGAACAGAGCAGAAATTGGCCTGGCAGTGGTCAGAAGCAGAGAGCAGGATGCAGGCCCTACTACCGGAAGCTCAGGGTACACAGAAAGGAGGAAAAAGAATGGGTCCAGCCATTAACAGGCGTGGGGAGACTGTCGGGAAAGGATAGTATGTATGTGTGTGTTTGTGTATTTGTTTATCTTTAAGAGAGAGAGAGAGCATGCGTGTGGGTGCCTGCAAAAGTGGTGGGGGGTGGGGGGGGATATTGGGAGGGGCAGAAGGAGAGGGAGAGAGAGAATCCCAAGCAGGGTCCACACTCAGCGTGGAACCCTGCACAGAGCTTGATCTCACCATCATGACCTGAGCTGAAATCAAGAGTTGGATGTTTAACCGACTGAGCCACCCAGGCACCCTGAGAAAGGACATTTTATTTTATTATTATTTTTAAAGATTTAATTTATTTATTTGACACAGAGAGGGAGAGCACAAGTAGGGGGAGTGGGAGAAGGAGGAGCAGGCTCCCCGCTGAGCAGGGAGCCCGACGCGGGGCTCGATCCCAGGACCCTGAGATCATGACCTGAGTGAAAGGCAGACGCTTAACTGACTGAGCCACCCAGGCGCCCTGGGAAGGGACATTTTAAATGAAAATCTTTGGTGTCTGAAAGTGGGATTCCCATTTTCTACTACATTCTAAGTTGTGTCTTTAAAGATTTGACTTGATTTTAGTTGAACATTATTATTTACAAAATTATGTCAACTGCTAAAATAATCTAGCTTGTTGCTGCTGTCTTGTTCACAGGTGAACTTTGGAGTGTACCTGACGCATATGTCTCTGGACTTATCTTCCCCACGTTTCCTGTCTGTAGGATCTCAGGTGCTCCCTGTGTTGAAAGAAAATGCAGAGCACCATGATTTACCTGCTTCTGACTAACATCAGGATGTTACCTCCTAAAATGTTTTTTCAGCGTAAATTAAAATTCCTCTTTTACAACTCTGTCTGCTTTTATTCAGATCGTCACATGGCTCAGTAGAACTCCATCTTTTGAACAAGGAGAGTTCTCTTGAGGGTAGAGGGAGCTCTTGTTGGCTTCCTCTAACTCCTGGTCTCCCCGCATGCACTGCGGAGCTCAGGAGGCCGGTTCTGAGGCCTCTGTGTTTCCATGAGACAAATGCAGCTCAAGAGCTGTGACGTGGGGCACCTGGGCGGCTCAGTCATTACGCATCTGCCTTCGGCTCAGGTCATGGTCCCAGGGTCCTGGGATCGAGTCCCGCATCGGGCTCCCTGCTCGGTGGGAAGCCTGCTTCTCCCTCTCCCACTCCCCCTGCTCATGTTCCCTCTCTCGCTGTGTCTCTCTCTGTCAAATAAATAAAATCTTAAAAAAAAAGAAAAAAGAAAAAAAGAGCTGTGACGTACCCAGCAACATTCCCCTAGGTGTTCAGAGTAGGATAACTTTAATTTGATGAGGGTTTTTCTTTCTTTCTTTTTTTTAAGATTTTTATTTATTTGCAAGAGAGAGAGAATGAGCCCGGGGAGGGGCAGAGGGAGAGGGAGAAGCAGACTCCCTGCCGGACAGGGGGCTCCACCTCAGGACTCCGAGATCATGACCTGAGCTGAAGTCAGTTGCTTAACCGACTGAGCCACTCAGGTGCCCCAGGTGAGGTGTTTTTTTTTTTTTTTCTTTTTTTTTCTATTATAATTCTCTCCTTTTTCTATCACTACTTTTTTTTTTTTTTAAATTTAAGTGTAGCTGACACACAGTGTTAGTTTCAGGCGTACAACATAGTGAGTCAACAACTCTGTATGTTACGCCGTGCTCACGTGCAGCTCCCATCTGTCACCGCACAACGCTATTACAATGTCATTGACTCTTTTCTGTACCATTTAACTCTATGCTGTACCTTTTATCCCGGCGACTTAGCTCTTTCCATAACTGGAAGTAATTCTGTGAGATCTTTAATGAGGCTCCGTGGGAATGCTGAACCTCTGTTTTGCCATTTTCCCACATTGTTATTTTGTCTTTAGGAAGAATCTCTAGGTGCTGCTCTTCTTCTTTTTCCTCTTCCTCTTCTTCTTCAAGGATTTTATTTATTTATTTGAGAGAGAGAGAGAGAGTGCATGAGCAGGGGCGAGGGAGAGAGGGAGAAGCAGACTCCCTGCTGAGCAGGGAACTCGACAAGGGTGAGATCATGACCTGAGTGGCAGATGCTTAACTGACTGAGCCACCCAGGCGCCCCTCCGCGCCCCCCCCCAAGTATTTTATTCTTTTTTGGTGCTACTGTAGGTGGAATTGTTTTCCTTACTTCCTTTTCAGATAATTTATTTTCAGTGCATAGAAAAGCAGCTGATTTTTGTATGTTGACTTTGTATCCTGCAACTTTACTAGATTCACTTATTCTAACACATTTTTAAAGGAATCTTTAGGGTTTTCTGTATATAATTTCACGTCATCTCTAAACAGGGATAATTTTACTTCTGCCTTTCCAGTTTGGGTGTCTTTTATATCTATTTATTGCCTAATTGCTCTGGCTAGGCCTTCTAGGACTGTGTTGAATAGAAGTGGCAGGAGTGGGCATTCTTGCTTTGCTCCCGAACTTGGAGGAAAAATTTTCAGTTTTTCACCATTGAGCATGATTTTAGCTGTGGGCTTTTCATACATGGCCTTTACCATGTTGAGATATGTTCCTTCTATTCCTAGTTTGTTGAGAGTTTTTATCATGAAAAGGTGTTGCATTTTGTTAAATGCTTTTAACGCATCTATTTAGATAATCATATGATTTTTAGCCTTTATTCTGTTAATATATTGTATTAACAGATTTTTGTATGTTGAACCATGCTTGCACTTGAGGGATAAATCCCACTTGATCATGGTGCTTGATCCTTTTGATGTGCTAATGGATTCATTTGCCAGTTTTTTGTTGAGGTGTTTTTTTTTTTATTTTTTATTTTTTAAAGATTTTATTTATTTATTTGAGAGAGAGAGTGAGCACGAGAGGGGGGAGTGGGAGAGGGAGAAGCAGACTCCCCGCCGAGCAGGGAGCCCGATGCGGGACTTGATCCCGGGACTCCAGGATCATGACCTGAGCTGAAGGCAGTCGCCCAACCAACTGAGCCACCCAGGCGCCCTTGTTGAGGTGTTTTCCATCTATATTCATTAGGGATGTTGTCCTATAGTTTTCTTGTGGTGTCTTTGTCTATCTTGGGTAAGGGTAATGCTGGCATCTATAAAATGAGTTTGGAAGGGCCCCCTCTTCTTCATTTTTTGGGAGCAGTTTGCCAAGGATCGGCTTTAATTCTTTTAAATGCTTATAGGATTTACCTGTGAAGCCATCTGGTCCTGGGCTTTTCTCTGTTGGGAAGTTTTTTGATGACTGATTAAATATGTATATTTGTTACAGGTCCGTCCAGACTTCGCATTTCTTCGTGATTTACTCTCATTAAGGTCTATGTTTCCAGGAATTTATCCATGTCTTCAAGGCTATCCATTTTGTTGGAGTATAATTGTTCAGAGCAGTCTCTTTTGACCCCTTTGATTTCTGTGCCATTAGTTGTAATGGCTCTTCTTTCCTTCTGATTGTAGTTGAGTCCTCTTTTTTTCCCCCTAGTCTAGCGAACGGTTTGTCAATTCTGTTTATCCTTTTAAAAAACCCAATTGTTAGTTTTGTTGATTTTTTCTGGTGTTTCTCTATTTTCTTTTTGTGTTTGAAGGTTTTATTTGAGAGAGAGAGAGAACTAGAGAGAGCATGAGCGGAGGGCGAAGGGCAGAGGGAGAGGGAGAGGCAGACTCCCTGCTGAGCCGGGAACCCGATGTGGGACTCGATCCCAGGACCCCAGGATCATGACCTGAGCTGAAGGCAGATGCTTAACCACTGAGCCACCCAGGTGCCCCAGTTTCTCTAATTTCTATTTCATTTATTTCTGTTCTAGTTTTATTTCCTTCCTTCTGCTAACTTTGGGCTTTTTGGCTCTTCTAGCTTCTTGGGGTGTAAAGCTAGGAAAGCCATATTGTATATTAAACAAATTGCTTTGCATTTGATACAAGTAAAAGCATTATTTAAAAAAAAAAAAAAGTACCACTCCTGATCTGTACTGGCCACTGTGTACCTCCCCTTGCTCCGGATGGTGATCGTGAGCAAAGGAAAAGCCACAGTTCTATACTCAGTGAGCTTGGCAGTTCATATCAGAGGATCAGCAGACATGGTGCTTTGATGGAGGTCCAAGAGTCAGGGGGACATCTGGGAGTGGGGGGACTGGCCTGGCGAGGGGGGCAGGGTGGAAGGGAATGCTCTGCAAACCTGGTCAGAACTGGGTCATCTCCTCTGTGACAGAAAGCCATGTCCACTCCCACTCACAAATATCCCTGGCCTCCAGGGCCTTTGGCAAGGGAAGAGATGAAAAGACCACTTTGGAACATGCCCCAAACTTCCAGCTGGACCAAGGGCGCGCCATCTTTCTCAGCTGTCCTTTATCCAGGGGGGAGGCAGGAGTGGCCGAGGGGAACACAGGCTGCGGGGACCCAGTGCACGCAGAGACCCACCACTAGAACTGCATGCTAGTGGGCCCTCGAGTGTTCTGAGCAAGGGGCCTGCTGGGGAGCCTGGTAGTAGATAAAACCTTCAGCAGGCAGGCAGAGGTCTGAGCACCTGACATCTCTGAGAAAGGCCAAGGCTCTTCTCGCTGCAGGGGGAGTTCAGGGCAGAGCGGGAAGCAGAAAGAAAGCTGGCAGGCACTTTCTAGCCTGTCCTTTTCCAATTCACCTGTTTTGTGCTGACAAAATTAACATCTCATCTTGCAAACCCCCAAATTAAAGTCATAGCAAACCTCATTCTATATGAGAAAGCTATTGAACAGATCTAAGCCTCATCTGAAACGTGAGGAACAGCACAAAACTTACTTCAGAGAACTGAGAATTAAACGAAACATTTGTGTTTAGCACAATGCCTCAAAATAATTAATCCAAGTAAGCCACGTCTACCACCTAGTGGCAACATTCGGTAATTGCAGACTTTGTTATGTAAAGAAAGCTGAAAACTAGTTCAGATTGGGTGGGCAAGTCCCAAAGGAGGGCAAACATTAGCGCACTTGTCTGGCCTGGCTTCCTTAGTGGAAGCTCTGAGAAACTTTTCATTATTGATGTTGGAATCCTTTAAAAGTTTGTTCCTGAATTACTTCTTGGCCATATTAATTTTTTTAAAAAAGATTTTATTTTTAAATTTATTTTAAAGAGGGAGCACACACAAGAGGGGGAGGCTTGGGGGAGGAGCAGAGGGAGGGGGAAAGAATCTCAAGCAGACCCTTGCGCTGAGCATGGAGCCCTATGGGGCTCAATCCCATGACCCTGAGATCATGACCTGAGCCGAAACCAAGAGTCAGAGGCTTAACACTTGAGCCCCCCAGGCATCCGGGTCACATGAATTTTCCACTGGCATGGTATCAACCATTCTTTTGGAGTCTCCTATTTTCTTAGGATTTTTCAAAAAAAGTGTGCTTTTGAATACTTTGACTCTCCCCACTTCCCATTGCTGGACACACTGCTACTTTCTCTAAACCATGTCAAAAAAAAAAAAAAAAAAAACTAAACTAAATTCTTCTTTCTCTAGATTGTTCTCCAGGCACCTGGGATCACAGAATCCCCTGCCCAAATGACCCTGAACATATTTCCAAGGCCTGTGTGTGCTTTTTCCTTAGAGGCACCCCAAGGCTTGAGAAGAGGTTCGCTGTTCTGTCAAGTAGATCTCTGTCTCTGTCTACTTGCCTGCCTGTCTGGCTGTCTCCCTCTCTCAAGAAACTGGGCTCGACAGCAGATCTAGGTTTTGTGTGCGTGAAGCTTGCACAGTTTAAAAATCATCTCTAAGAAAAGAATGTAAAATAAAAATTAGGTACAAAAAGGGATGTTAACTTGCATGCGAAAGGAAAAGGCTTTGGAAGGCAGCTGTGCAAGTGAGAGGCTTAGGCTTTGTGACTTTTGCTAGCAATCCTCCTTTGCCTGGTTTGCTTGCAGCTTTCCTTTCCCTCTGCAACTAAGCACCACTCAAACTCTCAAAGGCTACATTGTTCCTGCTTTTTGCAGTTTACAGAATAAACCACCGTTTATTCACTTTCTAAAATAAACAGCCACGTGAAGACCTGTCCTGGTTTTTTTCTCTCCCACCTGTGGCTGGAACCTAACTGTGTCATCATCACTCTGAGATAGTGACTCGCCCTGGACACTGCCTACTCCGGTTGGGACCAGGACCTGGGATTTCCTTCCCATGTGGGGGTCCAAGCTCACTGTTGCCGGAAGTTTATTGCGATAGACTGAATGTTTTTGTGTCCCTCAAAATTCATGTGTTGACGCTTACCCCTCAGTGTGATGGCATTAGGAAGGGAGGCCTTTTGGAGGCATGAGAGCAGGGCCCTCATGAACAGGACTAGTGCCCTTATAAAAGAGACCTCAGAGAGCTTCCTCCCCTCTTCTGCCAGGTGAGGACACAGTGAGAACTTGGCCATCATGAACCAGGGAGTGAAATCTCACCAGACACCAAATCTGCCAGCACCTTGATCTTTGACTTCGAGACTCCAGAACTATAAGAAATAAATTTCTGTTGTTTATCTGCCACCCGGTCTGGGATATTTTGTTATAGCAGCCTGAACAGGCTAAGACACATGTGTAGTAATCAAAAAGTATTACTGTCATCTCCTACTGAGGGACAAGGAAATACTATGTCATGTTTATCCACAGTCTGGTAAAATAGAGGTTTTTGGTTTTTGTTTGTTTGTTTTGGCTTTTTAAAGCTAACTAGATAACTAGTTAAAACTTTTTAAGCAGAAAAGATGAAGTCAGTTTATGGAGAAGGATTGGAAATTGGACACTCAGGACCCTTCTACCCCTACACAATTGCTTCCCAGTGGCTGAAGTCAATGCACACTTTTTGCATTCTGTGTTTTACTCTAAACATTTGGCGTACTTCAAAATGGTCTTCGTAATGTTAAATGGATGTGTAGTTGCATTTATGTGTTATAAGTAATTAAAATATAGCCCTATTGAAAGATATGTTTCCAGTTTTTAATTTTATAAGCAAGACTGCAATATACTCTGCTTCTAAACATGGCTATTTATGTATTTTCTTATTTATTTATTTTTGCTTCTGCTAAATTATTCTCTAGAAACCTGAGTGGGATTCCAGGACAATAGCTATGAAGATATTGCTGGGTATAGTCATAACATTTTCCAGTAAACTTGTACCAATTTATAACTGTAGTGTTTCAATAGCAGGCTAGCCCAGCCTTTGCAGCTTCCCAAGTCTTGGGCTCCCGGGTGTATCACATGAAAAATATACTCCATTTCTTCCTTGATGTAGCAACTTGTGCTTATGGCAACTTGTTAGTTCCAAGGAGGCAGCAGGAATTATTTGAAGAAAATGAGCCAGAGGAGCTTCAGGATTTAGAGAAAGTAGCAGTGTGTCCAGCAATGGGAAGTGAGGAGAATAAGGGACTCTGCAGAGCGAACAAGTGACACCACCCTTTCCCCAACTCACCCCAGAAAGTGAGGTGAGGAGGCAGAAAGATACAGGTCCATTTACAACATATGTAGGACCTTGGGTGAAGTTCAAATGCGGGTCCATAGGCCATAAGTCTAAATATTTAATTCATAAGTCAAACAAAATGTTAAGTAAGATATATTCTACCAACTCTGACAAATATACCTTTATAACAACTGAGAAGGACAGATGTGAATTTAGTATTATTATTTTTTGACAGAGAGAGACACAGTGAGAGAGGGAACACAAGCAGGGGGAGTGGGGAAGAGAGAAGCAGGCTTCCTGCTGAGCAGGGAGCCCGATGTGGGGCTCGATCCCAGGACCCTGGGATCATGACCTGAGCCAAAATCAAGAGTCAGAAGCCTAACCGACTGAGCCACCCAGGCACCCCTGAATTTAGTATTCTGACTCCTTGGCACTCTGCACAGGGATAGGAGGACGTGAGGAGATCTGGCCCAGCTCCTGGTTGCCAGCCATAGCCTATACCTGTATTCTTCTCAGCCCTGAGCCACAAACCCCAGATGTGTGGACACCTGATCCCGTGTAGCTAAACTCTGCCAATGCTCCACTCTAAACAGCCATTCCTTAACCTCTTCTCAGGCCTTGGGGCACCTCGAAGGAAAAAGCACACACAGGCCTTGGAAATATGTTCAGGGTCATTTGGGCAGGGGATTCTGTGATCCCAGGTGCCTGGAAAACAATCTAGAGAAAGAAGAGCCAGGTGGGCATGGACTCTTGGTGCTATGGGCTCCTTGCCCTTTGGGAAGGGGTGGGCAGAGTGAGGCCCTCTAAAGCATGGAGCCTAAGGCAGGGGCCCCTCTTGCTCTGGGCTAAGGGAAGTACTGCTAAGAACTTTTCTGGATACAGTTAACTACCCCAGAGAAGGCCCAAAGATACTCAAGGAAAAAGTCATTTGCCTACGAGCTTGGTCTCTAGTGAAGCCCACTAGGCAAAGTGTCTCTTCTCTACCTAGACAGTTTTTAATTTGAATGAGCAAGTGAGGATCACAAGAATTTTAGAATGACCTCTGTTATAAAAGAAAAAGACTGAAAGTAAGAAGAAAAAAAAAAGGGGGGGGGCGCCTGGGTGGCTCAGATGGTTAAGCATCTGCCTTCGGCTCAGGTCATGATCCCAGGGTCCTGGGATCGAGCCTCACATTGGGCTCCTGGCTCAGCGGGGAGCCTGCTTCTCCCTCTCCCTCTGCCTCTGTCCCAGCTCATGCTCTCTCTCTCCCTCTCTGTATCTCTGTGTGTCAAATGAATAAATAAAATCTTTAAAAAACAACAACAACAACAACAAAAAAAAAACCACCTCAAAGAACATATAAACAGTGCAATGAAATTAAAACTTTAAAGAAAATGTAATGAATAGTATCAGGGAAATCCTGGAGACAAGAATAAGATACTTGTAAAAGGGAAAATTAGAGAACAAGAAAAATTTCCTGAAAATTAAAAACATGAATGCTGTAATTAAAAGTTCAATGAAAGAGAAAGAACATATAGTTGAGGAAATCCCTCAAAATGTAGAATAAAATAATTAGAGATTAACAGGGTGGAAAAGTTGAGAAAATTAGAGGATCCATTTGGTGGTCCAACATCCAAATAATAGGAGTTCCAGAAAGAGCAGAGAAAACTGTGGAGAAAAAGTGATCAAAAACATGAAACAAGAACATTC